ACCCACGTTCCCTCAAATATTCACCCACTTTGATACACCTCTTTCCTGGCTTGAACAGCTGAGGTGAGTGCCTGCATATAACCTCACTATGTAACCTACTATGTAGCTTACTATGAGAATATTATACCTAATGTATATCTACCAATATTGTTTTATTCACTTATATTATTATACCTCATGATTTAACTTCCTTATATCTACCTTTCTCGGCTTATTCAACCATATTCTATCAAATATTGGTTCAGTTTGATAGACCTTCTGCCCTGGCTTGAACTGCTGAGGTAAGTGCCTGCATATAAGCTTACTATGTAATTTACTATGTAATTTACTATGTGAACATATCATCTAGTGTATTCCAATCATCACAGTTTTATCTATCGTTATAATCGCTTTTAACAACATCATCCATTCTAATATAGCTATATCATCTTATTCAAGCATGTTCTCTCAAATATTCGTTCTGTTTGATTGACTTTCTTTCCTTGGTTAAACTGCTGAGGTAAGTGTCCGCATATAAGTTTACTATGTACTTTACTATGCACCTCACTATGTGCCTCACTATGTGCCTCACTATGTGCCTCACTATGTGCCTCACTATGTGTCTCACTATGTGCCTCACTATGTGCCTCACAGTGTACCTCACTGTGTGCTCACTATGTAACTTACTACGCTGTCCACTATGTGATCACCACATCGAATCTATCTCCACTAATACTACTTTACCTACTCTTATACTTACATTAAACAACTCCCTCCACCTTAACTTACCATCTTCACTTGCTTCATCAATTTTCGTTCATATATTTACCCACTTTGATGGACCTTCAGTTCCAGGTTAGGCCACTGAGGCAGGTTGCCTGCATATTATCCAGCTCATATACATACAGCTTACTTGGTGCAAACCCTCTCGTATGTTATCGCTATGAAGAAAGCCAATCTCAACCAACCTCAACCAGTCTTGTACATTCGCCGTTAGTGTATTCTTGATGGAAATTAAACTTCTTGAGGCTTTGCCTGGGTATAGCATCCCCTGGAAGCAATCAGTTAAGTGTGTTTGGCCCCTGACCGTCACGTGCCACTCAAAAAAATAAGGCAAGTAAAGCCCGTGCGGGGAAGCTCCGTAAATCTCGTAACCTTATTCATGCATCTATATTCTCGGCTATTCCGCTTCCTCCATTAGACCCAACTCTCAAAACTAAACCAAATTCTCAGGGGTAAACCAAACTCCCAAAACCAAACTCTCAAAACCACTCTCAGAAGTAAACCAAACTCTCAGAACCACTCTCAGAACTACTCTCAGAATCACTCTCAGAAGTAAACCAAACCCATTGCAATGTCTATTGAAGTCCCCTACACCAAGCTCGGAAAGTCGGGGTTGAAAATCTCCCGCATCATCGTCGGATGCATGTCCTATGGTACCAAGTCCTGGGACGACTGGGTCATCGAAGACGAAGAAGTCATTTTTGGCATCCTCAACAAGTGCTACGCCGCAGGTATCAGGACTTTTGACACCGCAGACGTCTATTCCAACGGCAAGTCCGAGGAACTCTTAGGAAAGTGGATCAAGCAGTTCAACATCCCGAGAGACCGGATTGTCATCTTGTCCAAGTGCTACTGCCCGGTGGATGCCATCACCCCAGGATTTAACTTTAAAACCATGGACAGCTTCCCTAAGATGGATTACATCAACTCGCAAGGCCTTTCCCGCAAACATATCTTTGACGCCGTAGAGGCCACGGTCCAAAGATTGGGAACCTACATGGATGTGTTGCAAGTGCATCGTTTGGACCAGGACACCCCCAGCGAGGAGATTATGAAGGCATTGCACGACGTTATCGGGTTGGGGCACACCCGGTACATTGGAGCCTCAACCATGAAGGCTACCGAGTTTGCCGAGTTGCAATTTGTGGCCGAGAAGAACGGCTGGACCAAGTTCATCTCCATGCAAAACTACTACAATTTGCTCTACCGCGAAGAAGAAAGAGAGATGATTCCATTCTGCAACCGGTCTGAGGTGGGGCTCATTCCGTGGTCACCCAATGCTAGAGGCATCTTGACTCGTCCTGCGTCTGCTCAGTCCGATAGAGCACAGTCCGATGGTTACATGGCTGTGTTGGGGTTGAAAAATTTGACAGAAGCCGATTTGGAAATCTTGAAGCGCGTGGAAGAGGTGGCCAAGGCCAAAAATACTTCAATGGCCACGATTGCCATCGCATGGGTATTGTCCAAGGGTGCCTCCCCTATCGTTGGGTTTTCGTCGGAGGCCAGAGTGGATGATACCCTCCAGGCATTCGCCGTGGCACTCGATGATACGGAGCTTGAGTACTTGGAGGCTGCTTACGAACCAAGACGCCCGATATAAGAACTGTGAGTGGATTTCTAAGCGTGGTCTTACATGGTTTGTAACTTTTGCCGAAAATTTGGTGGCCATAAGTCTCTGTGGTGTGTTTTGACGTGGATGTTTTGGAATTAGACCCAATAGTTCCACTAAAGATTCATGACGAGTTCCGCTTGATAAACGTGCTCTGCGCCTTGATACTGTGTATCCGCTCTCTATGCCTACTCTATATGTCTACTCTATATCTACTTTATATCTATTCTCTATGCCTACTCTATGTCTACTCTATATCTACTCTATGTCTACTCTATATCTACTCTATATCTATTCTATATCTACTCTCTATCTACTCTCTATCTACTCTGCATCTACTCTGCGCCTGTATCTACTCTATATCCACTCTGCGTCTTCTTTGCGTCTTCTCTGCATCTTTGAATTTTCTCTGGCTAACTCGTCTCATTCAACCAGACAATACTCTAGCCTCTTCGTGAACTACCCATACACTGGTGCATTATCTATTCACGACTCCTACGTTACGGCACCATCCACCCTTGGTCTATCTAGCTTCGAATAGCTTCTGACACATAGTCGTGTTTTTGGTAGAAAGCATGCCACCATGGTATGCCACGTATACCGTGCCAGACTACACCACTCACACAGCTCTATGGAACGCCATGGCCACACCCATAATCATTGTCAGTAACATCTGCCTTACTTCTAGTTACCAGTTGATAGTCCCTTGTCTATAATCAACCAAGGGTTACGTGGAATGACAGTACTCTCTATTTGTACGTGTTTACCACAGTACACTACGTAACTTACTACAGTACACTGCGTAACCTACTACAGCATACTACATAATCTATTACAGTACCTTACGTAACTTACCATTATAATTACACATCATTAAGCTACGTGTAGTGTTTATTTATTTGGTACGTTCCATGACCATAGCTATTCCTTTATTAATCCGCCTTCTATTTGGTATCAGCTGAGACAGTGGTACTCTACGTAGTATTTGAGCTTACCGTAGTAAGCGTGTAGCTGTCACGTGGTAGAGATCAATACCCTATATAAGGAGGTCGATCCCTCCCTCCTTTATCCTATGTACATTATATAAGTAACCAGTATTACTTATTACTATAAGTAGATATTCTACCCTTGAGGTAGAGATATACCACACTTACCGTACATTTTGCATGGATGATTTCACTCTAACCTTGTGTACTTGGCACTATGTGTCTATTAGAATACTGTGGACTTACCCCAACGCACTCGACTCATCTATACTTGACCCAAGACCTAATAGTCACCCCTTAGTAAGGTGAACAGCACCCGGAAGATTATCGTTTTAGTAATTGCACAAGATAGGACACATTCAACATTAGACATATAAAATATCATTCAAACACACTGCCAAACAATAAATCTGAATAAATCTGAATAAATCTGAAATCTGAAAAAAAAAGTAAACGTCAAGAAAAACGCGGTGGACCGCTCAATGGGGTATATTTGGTCGCAACAATTGCCACGTACAACCTAAAAGATCTTGGCATCGTTGAACTGTTTTAAAACACCATTGATAGCGGCCAACTTGGTGTCCGGAACGCTGCCCAGGTTCAAAACGTTACCGTAGTTGATCAACATCTTACCAAAGTCAGCACTTGTGTATCTCTTACCAATAGACCAAGAAGGAGCAGAACCCTGGGTAAGAATCTGGAGCTGGGTAGTACCATGCATAAGAGTTTTCAATTTGGATGCAGGCAATCTCTTGTTCGATTTGGCCGAGTTACCCCATGAAACCAACTGACTACCGGCATCGCTAATGGAGGTCTTGGAGATAGTAGGTGGAGCAATCTTGGCCATTCTGGAGTACGAATCACCAAGGGCATTCCAATTGAGGTTCCGCACATTGTTCCGCTGGAAGTCCCCACCGGCACCAATCAAGGCTTCAGCAACCTCCTCTATAGTCTCATAAGCAATAAAAATAACGTTAATACAGCATTCACAAACAGCTTCAATACACTCCAAACATTCTTGCAAGATGCTTTCGCCATGTCCAGAACCACCTTCACACTCATCACATTTCAAGTTAGCCAGCTTCATTCTTTGGCCAAGAGCGACCAAGTTGGTACCGAAGGCGTTAGTGTTGAAGCTCTGAGGGGTACCACCAGTAAGGGTGATGGCAACATCTTCGATGCCGTTAACAACACCAGAAACAAGGCCCCCAACCCAGGAGACCAAGCCTGCTTCTGGTTTTGGAGCGGCAACGGCGACGGCGATAGCCTGAGCCTGAGCCTGAGCCTCGGCCATTGGGGCAGCGAGGGCGGTGGAGACCAAGATAGTCGCAAGGGTGATGTTAGAGAATCTCATTGTAAGTTATTTGTTTGATGATGTAGGAAATAGGAAATGATTTCAAGAGGGGGATTTTACCCGTATTTATATTCTGAGAAACCATCTCACTTGGAGCTGCCCTCGCTTCTGTTCTGGGGATATTTTCCGCCTCACATACCAGTTCCTGGTGATAGCAAGTATCTTTGTTGATTATAATCGTGGGCTTTTCTAAACAAAATATGCTCAACACAGGCGGTTCATGGTTGGTTATTGTTTGGTTGGAACGTGCCAAGGCATTTTTTTTCAACTAGCTGTGTGTATCTTGTCACAGGCAAACGATTTGTGCCAGAAAAGACCAAATAGGCAGGTGGAATTCGCTTCTTTTAGGATCATTTGCAGGTGAGGTTCCTTATACCGCGTACCCGAGTCTGGCATACCTTGGATTATCCAGGGTGAACTCCTTTAATTGTCTTGGCGGAAAGCTATACATGCGTTCTCTGCTCAGGAAATGGCCATAATGGCTATTATTCAATTCACTTTTTAACGCATCCTTGCCTTTACCCCGTTTCAGATACACACCAGAGAGAGGTATGGGAGAGTAATCGCATGCTATTCGTACCCAAACTAACGCCCATTGTAGATAACACCCATTACAGGTAACACCCATTGCAGGTAACGCCTATTGCAGGTAACGCACATTGCAGGTAACGCACATTGCAGGTAACGTTCACTTCAGACAATACAGGTCGATTTCCTGTACGACCAACCGTTCTTGCCCGTTGGGCTATATATTTATGTAGTTCTTACCTTGCCTCATATTAATACGCCAGTTAGACACAACACTTCATTCGAGGTGATTGGTGAGGTACATCCATTGGCCATTAATAAGCATTGTCAGGCCAACCTTCTCAATGCTGCCAAGCCAACCCATTCAGCATTGCCAAGCAATTGGCTCGGTTTCGTTAATACGCAGGTCGCTTTCTTTTACCCTTTCGTCTCAAATCAGTAAGATGGCAAAGGACGATCGCCAACCTGCGTCACTTTTGCGCAGGTGCATGACTAGTTTGTGCGCCTCGAAAAGCCCTGTGTCGAAGTACTGACATATGTGCCTGCATACAAACTTACTATCTGAGCTACGATACAGCTTTGTATTGAACGTTATATCGTTTTATCCACGCTTATTACTGGTTAATACTGTCTCCATACTTGATAATATTTCCATACTTGATAATATTCTCATACTTGATAATAAAGCATAAGTGAAGTATTGTTGTACCGAGATTCCCATCCTGGTTCCTAAAATGCCAACGTTACTAGTCGAATCTGCACTAAACTAAGCTCGTACCGGGCATCACCCTGATCTCCAGTAGTTTTATAAGTATTGCAAATATCGATAGATGTATAGTTGGAGAAAATGTAATATAGAAAACAATATACTCTGAGAAGCAAATAAGACTGTTTTTCCAATCCCAGGCTAGACCGGTAAATACACAGTCTAACACCCAACAGTTATCCTCACAAAGGGTCTTGGTAACAGGGTTTGCCAGAATAGCCCAAGCCTGAAATCTTTATTGCATAGGCAGGCTTTTTCTCGCAAAAGGTCTAGAACTATGTGCTTAGGTTTTGGACATTTAGTTTTTGGATGTTTAGTTTTACAAGACCTATTTCCGGTTTTGCTTTCAACAATGCCAGTGTCCACAAAACTAGGGGAAGTAAAATATCATATGCTTCATCTTAGGGTAGATTTTGCCGAGGCTCATAACACTTGTGGCATGGCCCCCCACAGGAATAAGCTGCATAACGGTGCCTGGAACATGTTTAGCTACGGGCTCGTATATGCCGACGCAGTGGAGCCGCATCTTCTACACACCTAAGGCGGGATAAATCAGCAGTCCCTCTTCTGAAAGACACTTCAGTGCTTGTCGGTTTACATGTGACACTTAGATGGCTTTATGAACCAGCATTCAAAGGGGGTTAGAACGGGATTCGGGTAGCAAGAGCCTGTATGCATAAACCTGCCGGCTGCAAATTGGCCGGCTCGAGAATTCCATCACCCGATCTAGCATCTTCATTAATTCCGTGGGACACTCCGTGTGGTATATCTCTACCCCAAGGGTAAAATATCTACTTATAGTAATAGTAATACTGGTATTCTATATAATGTATACAGGATAAAGGAGGGAAGGATCGACCTCCTTATAAATACCTGACTCAGGACTTGATAATCACCCACCTCAATAAGGAAAACGGCACCCTAAAAATTGTTTTACCAATTGCACAACACAGAATACATTCAACGTTAGATAAATAAAAAAAACACCAACACACTGCCATTTTTATGACATGTGGCTTGGAAAATAAGAATTAAGGTCATGAAAAACGCGATAATGAACCGTTCAGGGGTATATTTAGTTGCAACAATTGCCAGCTAGAACTTAAAAGATCTTGGCAGAGTTAATCTGTTGCAAAACACCGTTGATAGCAGCAACATTGGTGGCCGAAACCTTACCCAGGTGGCAAATGTTACCGTAGTTAACCAAGATCTTACCAAAGCCAGCACTGCTGTACTTCATACCAATAGACCAAGTAGGAACAGAGCCCTGGGTAAGAATCTGGAGCTGGTTAGTACTCTTCATGAGGGTTTGCAAGCTGGAGGCAGACAACTTCTTGTTAGACTTGGCCGAGTTACCCCAGGAAACCAATTGCGTACCAATGTCACTGACAGAGGACTTGGTGATAATTGGCGGAGCGTATTTAGCGAGCTTGGCGTAAGAGTCACTGAGGGCGTTCCAGTCGAGGTTCTGCACGTAACACTGGCAGATACACTGAATACAGGCGATACAGTCATCCAAGACATCTTCACCGTATCCAATGCTACCGTCATCGCTGTCCAAGTTGGCCAGCTTCACCCAGCCTATCTCCACCGATATTACTTCATCTGCTCTTATAATTACTTTGCATGACACCATTCATTCTAATCTACTTTCCTTACCTTATGCAATCCTGTTTCCTCTTCTCTAGCTTGAATGATTGAGGCCAGTGCCTATATATGGCCACTACCACTTACTATGCAACATACTATGTAGCTTACTATGCAGCTTACTATGCATCCCTACTATGCAACACACTATGCAGCTTACTATGCATCCCTACCCTGTAGTCTACCTCGAGACTACTGTACTCAGCGTATATCAACCAATATTGTGCTATTCATATTAAATACCAAGCATCCATGTGGAGTAGTATTACAGCTACCGATATCATTAGATGAGTCAGGATTTTGCCACCCACCACGTGATCTTGGGAATGCAGGGCTATCTGGTTTGTTTGGATACGTTAATGTGATACGAAATGCACGGCGAGCAAACTCCTCGCACTGATGGACCAGAGCCCTGACAAACCCCATTGCCTGTGTTGCGTCCATCGCATCAGCTTCACTCTGACTAAATCCCTCAAACCAGCTAGCCAAATCCCTCGCAGACCCCACTAACCAGATTCTATAAGACTCAGAGTATCTACACCACGCTGTACAAACTTGTTGACCCCACACCTCCTTCGCTACTCTCACCAACATGGATACGCACGAAATTCCTCTATTTGGTGGTATCCTTCCGTTGGAAATTGTCGAGAATATTATTTCCTACCTACCGCTTCCAGCAGTCGCCGAAGTGATGAAATCAGAAAATGCCAGTATCGCCTCGGTAGCGCGGAGACGCTACTACTCGAGCATTACATTGGAGTTTTGGGAATTTGATGACCCACCATACGAAGATGGATTCTCTCATATTGGTGACGAGGTCCTCTATATGAAGCATTCTGAATTTGAAGCGCTAGTCAACAGCGATACGTTTGACCAGCTTCACATTGGGAAGCTTTTAATAGACGTATCCGCAAGTTTCGATTATTTTACATTCCTCCACGAAAAAGTGTTCACCAAAGCTTCTGCGGTCGTCACTAATGTCATTCTACGGTTCGGCGGACATCAGGATTTTTATGCAACATTCAACTGGAACTGGTTGCCACCTTCGCCCCTGGTGCAAAAGTGCATCCGAGAAATATCCGTTTCATACCCTTATATTAACCCAGAAATTCCACCTTTACCCTCCAAATTACGCAGGCTTGCCTTTCTAGAGAACTCTCGATATAGGTACCTGGATGATGATAGTGGCCCAACGATTATTTTTCCACCAAAGCTCCGAGAATTTGTTTCGGAGATTCCCTGGGGATCAATTTCAACGTATGCGGACCTCCCTTCAACTTTACAGAGATTGAAACTATCGTATATCTGGAGCTTTTCTGTCGAGGCGTTCAACAAGTTAAATTTGCCCAATTTGAAATTTTTGGAATTAAGAGTTATGTGCGGCATGCCAGAAACAAACGAGCAAATTGAATTTCCCTCGCTGTTGGAGAACTTGGGACTCTATAATCTTAAAATTACTAGCTTTGAACAACGGAACTTACCTCTGGGGTTGCAGAAGTTGTTTATCAGCAATTGTCCTTTAAAGAAGTTTCGTGTGGACACATTTCCGAATTCCCTTAAAGAGTTGATCCTAGACAAGACAGATCTTCCATCTTCCGAGATCAACATTATCAAGTTTACTTCGAGTTTGGTTTCCTTACTAATTACGCACACACGGTTATCATCACTAAATTTTGTCAACTCATCACCGGGGTCTTTAGAAATCCTCAACCTCCATGAAAATTCCCTTAGTCGTTTAAATGAAACAAATGAAGGTGAAGACACTTTCAGGTCACTCCAAATCAAGTTCCCCGAGAGCCTCCAGACACTTGATCTTGAATATACCGATCATCTATTTACCCTTTACTCACCAGGGAACCTTGTCTTCCCTTCGAGATTGAAAGATTTGAAGCTCGGAGGCACAAATATGAGGACAGTCAAAGAACTCAATCTTCCACCCACATTGAGTTCTTTAGATTTGAGACAAAATAATTTGGTATCAGTCGACGGGCTCAGTCTTCCACAGAAATTGACCCATTTAAACTTGAGCTCCACTAATCTTGAACTGTTCTCAAAGAAACTACCTGACAGCATTGAATCCTTGTCCCTTGAGAGTAATAAATTGACAGAATTGGTAAACTTCCGCCTTCCGGTGAATTGCATCAAGTTTAAAATTTCGTCCAATCCTCTTCTACGGATCCAATTCTCTAATGCAGACCACCAAGATTTGAAACTCCTAGATTTTAGTTTAGGTGGGGAAACCATTACCACGCTCCGTGACTTCTCTCCCCTCCCACAAAGTCTCGCTTCCTTGAGTATTTACTCTACAGAAGTAAACACCTTGTCGGGGATCCTGTTTCCTACAGGGCTAACTATCATACGTGCATATGGTAACAAGTTAACTTCGTTGGAAAATGTTGAGTTCCCGCCACTCTTGGAAGAATTGTGCCTCCAGAGAACTCAAATATCTAGTTTGGCCAATGTCCATTTTCCGAACAGTTTAATTAAGTTGGATCTTCATGATAACAAGATTACCTCAATCGATGCCATACAGCTTCCTCCAAAATTGAAGGAATTGAACTTGTCAAATAACGCAATTAGTGCTATTAACGAGTTGCAGTTGCCCGAATCGCTTGAAAGCTTGAGATTGGCGGACCAAAAGTGTGACATTCCGTTTATTTGTGTCCCAGCGAATAGCAACACGTTAGGGGGTTCCAATAAATCTAAGAAGGGCCTATCGAGTCTCGCTGGGTTAACCAAACTTCCGTCAAAGTTGAAATTCTTAGGTCTAGAGAAGAACAGTTTGTCCGAGGAGGCCGTTAAATGCTTAGAACTCCCAGCCAGCTTGACAGATTTAAGAATCGGAGGTAATATGTTCGACAGCGATTATAAGTGGAAAAGAGAATTCGAGCTAGCACACCCAGGGTTGGAAGTTTGGTGAGCTGGGATTGTTTTAGGACAGATCCTTTCTTTTTGGCGCCGACTATGATATAATGAATAACAAATGTGAGGCATTGGTGTAAGGAGAAGCATTTTTAGTATGTGGCGTTTAATGAGAAGTTATCTGACAATCGATGCATGCGTATTGAAATCCCTTGACTACACGTAGACGTATCCGCTTTACGCACCAGTATGGTAAACGGTACTGATTAATTGGAAACTTGAAACAGAAATCAACATTTGACTATATCATAAACCCATAGACTGTGATGTAGCAATTGTTAATGCTAAGGTGTTAACCAAAAGATGGTTTGTTTTTCCAACTTGGGCTGTCTTGGTGAGGGCAATATATACCAAAGGGTAGCTAAGGATAAATACTATTCATGGGCCAAATTCACGATATATATTAAACATAGGAAGTCGAGGTTGTTACGCCCTGGGTCATCGAATGAGATAGCCAGGCTCATACCGCCATTTTACACATGTTATGCTCCATGTGTTTTCCGCATTGTCACGCATCTTCTTACACTCCATTAAATCACTGAAATATTGACTGTGGTTGCATTGCTAAACATAATGAGGGGTTGTACTATACACTATTTAGCTCATAATAGAATATACACCATAAGAACCCTAATGAAGTGGTCTCTGAAACAGACTTTTTATTCTCTTTAGTCCTATCCCATAACTCATATTCTATTAATTCAGTCATCTACCCATTGTGTGGTATATCTCTACCTCAAGGGTAGAATATCTACTTATAGTAATAAGTAATACTGGTTACCTATATAATGTATATAGGATAAAGGAGGGAGGGATCGGCCTCCTTATATAGAATATTGATCCCTACCACGTGACAGCTACACGCTTACTACACATTGTGTGGTATATCTAATAGATCATGGCAGACAAAATCAGTTAGCTAAGAGATTTTCCGTAGACCCTCCGTGTGTTAGAAACTCGGACAGTCTTACAGAGAGCTCCGGTGCTGTATTATCTGTAACGTACATACCCACAAACTAAGGATATTGACATATACTAATCCTTCTTCTGGAAAGACCTTCTCTGGAGGGTGGCTCAGAGTGGCAACAACTTGAACTTCTTGGAAAAGAATCTTTCAATAATGAATCTTGGAACTATCGCCATAAGGGTTGGCAAAATAGTAGCCATGGTCCCCCTGTAGACGTTGAGTCTGTTGCTGCTGGATTCAATGTCGTCAGCAACCTTCTTGGCATATTCCTCGGCTGATATTGGATTATTGTCGACAGCCATCAGCCTTCTCTTAATAAGCGATACGTCAAGCTCAGGACAGGCGTAGACAGAGGTTTCTGGAAAAGGTCTGGTGTCGGCGATATTCGTCTTGACACCCCCGGTAATCACATTGTGCACCCTAACACCGAATGGTTTCATCTCCAAGTGCAAGACAGCCGCAAACTGACGGATTGCAGCTTTGGTAGAACCGTAAATGGAGCTCCACGGGAAGGGCATAATACCCGCAATGGAGCCAGTAAAGACGATGATACCCTTAACTTCAATCAAAAGTGGAGAAAGCTCACGTGTCATTCTAACCGGGCCAAGAACGTTAACCTGGAAACACTGCAACGCTTGTTCGTCAGTAACGTCTATCTCCGGGAAGGTACACGCTAAGTTACGTTAGTAATTTACTTCAAAGAAACTGGGCTGTATACGTACACTGGTCGGCATTATTGAACAACATGTCAAGTCTGCCGTTGGTCTCCTTTTCGATGTAAGCCTTAGCTTAACGCTTTCCAAATCGGCAACATCACAGGTGAAGGTGTTGACACCATACTTCTTTAATTCCTCTATTGGCTCCAATCTTCTCACACAGGCATAGACTTGGTAGCCTTTCCTGGCCATTTCGATGGAGACGGCGTACCCGATACCAGAGGAGGCACCGGTGATGACTGTGGTCTTTTGTTCAGGAATTAGTGTAGAAATTGAGTTATGAATCTAAAAGAATAGAAAAGTAAGGGTATAAAAATACAGTCCAAGGTCTAACGGGTATATGTGCTTGCTTGCGATTACCGATTATGCAGGAAATGGCGAGATTAAGCTTCGTGGCTTGTCGCACGGATGCCATGTCAAAGCTCGCATGTAAGGATTTACACTGCGGGGAAGTAAAACTCAGAAATTAAGTTTAATCGGATATAACTCCGCCAATTAAGGCAATCCGTAATGTGATGTTACCCATATGGTTTAAAAGAATACCCTCTCTTGATTATATATCTTTTAAATAAGGTAACCAACAATAGTCTCTCCTAGATAATGATATCTACTAGATATACCACACCAGCTACGCTGCTACGATGAATCGTTCGGAGAATTTAGTCTTCGGGATTATTCGCACTAAAATTCATAGCTAAAAGCTGAGAATTCTCTAATGCATACGTCATTTTACCATGAACTATAATAATGCAACCGCCGATATAGTTCAGATGAGAATTGGCAACTCTGATAACGTCCGTGTTTGAGCTTTCACGGTACTTTAAAAATCTACCCCCAGACACGATAACCTCCAGACTTGTCATAGCACGCTACTAACCTGACCCGACTATCAGTTCCCTTTCTGCCAATCACCGTACTTCTCCAACTTGCTTATCTCCACCGGGTGTCTCTGGAACACGCGCAATGCGCACAAATTTTCCCTAAACAGGAAAAGTATCCGGCACTCTAACGGGCACCAATTAGAAACCTAATGCAATGGAAGCAACAAACAAGCCCTTTTGCTTTATATGCAGGAAAGAAGAGTGCATCTGCCCCATTATCCGCCTCCGCCTGGTTGCTGGAAAGTGCTCAGCAGCCGTAATATCCTAGTAAGCTTTGGTATTTTCTACTTCGCTTAAACCTTGGGTCTTCACTGTAACCGGTTTTTCCTCTCAGTTATTCTTGTAATTAGATCATCCTTGTATCATGAAGTTATCCAATCCAGTGCTTTTATCCATCGCCTTGGCGTTTCCTGCCAGCACGGCCGCCACCCCAGGGGTGTTCAAGGTGGAGTTCAACGTCCACAGAGGGTCGTCGTCTGATTCTGCCGAGTTTGGAGCGTCTACCCATTTTTCCAAGAGAGAAGTTGATGGGGTGCAGGCGGTGCAGCTTATCAATGAAAATACTTTCTACTTGGCCAACTTGTCTATTGGGTCCAACGGCCAGAAAGTGGGGGTACAATTGGATACTGGTTCGTCCGATTTGTGGGTTACGGGTAGCGATGACTCGATCTGTGCCAGCGGTACTGCCAAGCGTGAGTTTAAGAAATGGCATAACACTGGCGGATACTTCGACTGCAGCATTTACGGGACTTTTGACGAGTCCTCGTCGACCTCTTTCAAGAGCAATAACACCGATTTTTACATCCTGTATGGGGATTACACGTATGCATCCGGTGGCTGGGGCTACGACACGGTTTCCATTGGGTCCTTAACCGTTGAAAACATGTCTTTTGCGGTCGCTAACCAGTCAAACTCAACCATGGGGGTCCTTGGGATCGGTTTTGCCAGCTTGGAAGCCACCTACTCCTCCGCCTTCGTGGGTGTAGAGCCGTACATGTACGAAAACTTTCCGATGAAATTGAAGAGCGAGGGATTCATCAAGAAGAATATCTACTCGTTGTACCTCAACCTGCAGAATGCCCCCCACGGATCTGTGTTGTTTGGCGGTGTAGACCACTCCAAGTACATTGGTAGCTTGGTCACCTTGCCAATCATCAACCGGTACACCAATTATACCACCAATCCTTGGACGACCCAAGTCACCCTCGACTCTGTCGCTTACGAAGGCAAGACCCTTCTGACCAATTCTACCGTTGCTTTATTAGATTCTGGAACCAGTTTAACCCAACTTCCATCGTCAGTGGTCAGTGCGGCTGTCTCCGCCTTGGGCTTGTCGTACGAAAATGATGTCCAAGCCTACACTGCCAAATGCGGTGCCTTTAACGACAAGAGCTTCACCTTCACCTTCGCTGGTGTCAACATTACCGTCCCAGCCTCCAATTTCTTTTATAGCTTGACCGACTTCGACGGCTCTGTCAGTAGTACCTGCGCCTTCGGGATAGTCGAATCCGATTTTATTGTGCTCGGAGACAGTTTCTTGAACGCCGCCTACGTGGTGTACGACTTGGACGACTACAAGATTTCTTTGGCCAACGCCAACTTCGGCGAGTCTTCCAACAGCGAAGATATTGCTGTGGTGATTTCCACCATTCCGGACCCTAATTCCGGTGCCTCTACCGGCACTTCTAACACTGCCATGGCCACCAACACTGGCAGCGTTTCCACCACTACTGCGGCCTCTTCTCTGAAGGGCAGTGGTGCCGGCCATATTGTCAAGCCTGGGGTATTTGCCGTTGTGGGATCTGTATTCGGTTCTGCTCTTTTGCTGATCTTGTAGACCTTCACGTCAACCTTTATTATTGTCTTCAACTTCTAATGTTCGACATCCTTCTCTTTAGATACTACATTCTTACATCTATATTTTTTTATAATCGTTGTATACACCCAAGATGTTGGACTTCGCGTGTAATTAGCTACGGTTGAGATGAATGGCGCTTAGGGCATATCCTAAACCAAGTCTATAGGTGTCATATAATTACATATAAGGAGTACGCAATGGCATTGTTGATATGGCAAGCCCCATTGAGAATATTCTTGTATTTTCCCAAGAGCAGCCGGCACCCTATATTCATATATGGATGGAAACTCGCCGTGGTGGCGGCTATAGTATTGCCAATTTACTACACACGCATTAATTCTCCTGATTAGCCATATGTGAATTTTTCCATCAACTGTCTTAAGATTCGGCCATTGGTTTATATGTAGTGAAACGTTTTCGTACGACATAACAGTCTCTAAGAACAATTAATTGAAGGTTGAGTGAATATTTCCTTTTAATCTCGCCAAATTTACCCAATACCATTTCCCGGCAGACAAGCTGAATGAGATATATTCAGCGCCGCACACATAAGTGGGAATTTTAGAGTTGGAGCACGTATATGAATTGCAACTCTTATTGGCGTGACTCGAAGTATGGCTGCAAAAATCTGGGTATAATTTTGAAAACCTTAGCACCGTTATAAAATCTCTGGGTCATATTTATTCGACAATGAATGCCTGGGTATGTATTATGGCTGATGTGCGAAATTAACTGGATTTAGTCAGCTATCGTTTGAGCTTAGCTAACTTTTGGTGTCAAGCTTAGGATGCCAAAAAATGCGAGGACCTGTCCCGTGACTCCGACTGTCCTCGTTTCAAAAAGGATCAGAGCCATATTGTCAGTATTACGATTAAATCTTTTATGTATTTAGTACGTTTGGATTTTATTTCAGGGATTTCCCTGCTCAAACCTCATTGTGAGTTATTTGTTTGATAATAAAGAGATGAAGAAATGATTTCAAGAGGGAGATTTTACCCGTATTTATATTATTCTCAGCAGTAATCTCACTCGGCGCAACCTTCGTTTCAGTTTGAATACCTTTGCCTTATACTCGTCTTGAAAGAAAGCAAGAAATATACATGTTGTAATGAAAAAGCTAAATAATAACATGACCTCAATTCATGAAACTTGTGGTTATTCAAACGGAGCGTGCCGGGGCTTTTCTATCGGTTAGCCATAATACTCTGTCACTAGCGAGAGATTTTGGGCGAGGAAAGACCGGGTAGATGTATGGAGTTTGCCTCTTATGGGACTCTTTGCTGAAGGGGCTTCTGCTTACAGCGAAACCAAGCCGGGCTTAGTCAGGGGACGCAGGGTGGGCTACTATAATTTTCTTGGCAGGCGGAAGGCTGTACATTCTCCCTCTGTTTAGGAAATTTGCGTAGATATAGAATACATTCTTTCCCGCTTCTTGTACACCTTTGAAGAGATCAAAGGGATGAGTATATAGGTCGTGAATTAACATTATCATTCATCTTTTTAAAATATTTTCCAATAGTCAGTCCAGTGTCCATAACGTGCAGGATAAATTGTCCCGTCGCCCCCCTCTTTTCGAAAGACCCTTAAACGACTAAGGAAAATTGCCCACCTGCGTCTTGGTTATGCAGGTGTGCAACCTTTATGACCCCGATAAGCTCTGGATTGCGCTCTTGAGACAAATGCCTGCATATAGCCTCTACCGCTACACAAGCTGAATCCGATAGCTACATACGCTTGCTACGAACCTACTATCGTATCTTACAAGCGTGTAACTTTCTATATAATTTTCCTGTTTAAGAAAAATATATTATTTAGCCCTATTGATATATCCTTACGGCTATTAGATGTCTCTGTATACCATGACTGCTCTATTTACTTGTCTACTCATTGTGATGTATCTGGTGGGTAGTAGACATTAGCTGACTGAGAGAATATCATCGATTGCTTGTGTATTAAATGTATATGCAAGAGGAGGGTGTGGAGGTCCTCGTATACCAAATGACCCTCACTCCCCTCCAGGTAAAGGGAAAGGTTTAGGTGACCTGAAGGATGTCAACGACACACGATGTGTAAACGCCTTTAACGCAAAGCATACCCGTCACCACCCCGGTAGGTTATACAGAATATATTTCGCACCATCCAAATGCTTGGCAGAAGTCTTAGCGGTGGAGTACAGAAATGAACTCCAAGATTCTTCATAGTATGTCAGAGATAGCCCCGGAGGCTTTCCGCTCCGGAATACAACTTGCTCTGTCTGTGACTCGAATTCATCACTGGGATTGTCTCATGTTCCCAAGGACCCAATTCAGCAATGATCAAAACTACCCTTTTGATCTCACGATTAAATCCCGTGAATTGGCTAAGTTCTAAAAGACTGCGTCAAGTCTGTAGGAATACCACTTGACGGTTTAAATCCTCGTCTGTTTCGGGTTTCATGTTTTGGTTACAAGGCAAATGTGCTGTATGGAGACAATCGTCGTTTTGTGAAACCGCCTAGCTGGAACCCCTCATTGATACCAAACTGCATCACTATGAGAATCTGAACTGTGAGGTCTTAATCTGAGCTATCAAAACAAATAACCGGTATTAAACCACCGTGAGCAGCTTGAGAGCTCCTATTGAGCTACATTTTCCTCACACTGTATTATAGCCCAAGATAATGTCTTTGCATCCCACGCTAGAAAGAAAATTAATGTGGATATGTACCCCGACACATTGACTAAGCAGTACGACTATTAATTGTAGTTTAAAGAATCTGCCACGGGAATAAGTAAATGTAAATACGATGGTTGGCTTACTGTGCGCTTCTGGTGGTAACAGTGGTAGGCGCTAAAGAGGGATTCATATAAATAGAAATTAAGGTAAAAGTAAAAGATCTTATCTAAATATGGTTTCGATAAAAAGTTTTGTGTAAATCTAGTTATTGGATTGGACTTATTTTATCCACTTTCGACAAATATTTTCGCCATCTGAGAGATCCAACTATCAAAATCGGTACCATCTTATGAGAAAAAACGGCACAGTTTCCCAGCACCGAGTTAAAAACGATCAATCGTGAGAAAAACCTATTTTAAGACGAGGCTTGTGTAATCTTTGCCCATATGCCAAACTATACCAGCGGTGCATGCGTCATGAGTCAAAGTCCAAAGATAATTTACTAAGTGCAGGTCGTCGAGGTTCAGGCCCATTGGTTACTAGATACTCTTAATGTAAATCCATAAGAAAACCCATTTATAAGCTACTCCTAGAGCTTTCTCAAGTCTAAGTTAGCTCAATAGTTAGATACTACAAGGTTTTATAATTGAAGTAAAATCCATAAGAAAATACACAAACTGTCCAGATGGAGACAAATGATCAAAGACTAGAAAAATACTCAACCACAGGAATTTCCATCGTCAACCTGTGACTCTTTTAGACTGGTCACTGGTTGATAATTTAGAATCTACCGTGGTGGCCGTGGTGGTGGTCGTGGTGGTCGTGGTGGTGGTCGTCGTCACAGTCGTTGCGGAAGTACTTGCTGATAGCATTGAACAAGCGAGCTGGCTGAGAGACAGCAACTGGAGCAGCTTCTGGCACGGCAACGGCATCTGGGGCAGCAGCTGGAGCAGCAATAACGGAGGTGGCCAAAGTGGCGGTGAGAATAGCGAGAGCAGAGAACTTCATTGTTGGAATTTGTTTTTTGAATACTGAGGTAAGAAAAATATGAGATTCTACGGGGGGACTACTCTTCCTTATATACTTTTTGTAATCACTTTAATTCATCATAGTTAGTTGCTTGGTTATATCTAATGTTCAAATTTAGCTAATTTCTATTTCACTCTTTGTTTCCCTGCATGTACCTGCAACTTAGCCTCTTGGTAGAGTGAAACCGTATAAGCCTGTCCCTCTGAGCCAGGGCCCAGAACTGTATATGCACTCGAAAAATCCCGCTACATTTATTTCACTTTCGGCCTTAACGAGGCCTCGTCATGGTTACAAGTACTCTATACAGAAAGATTTAAGTTCACCATACAAAAGTATCGTGTATAGCTGGTCGTTAGGATGTCTTGCCTTGGAATGTGGAACATGGGAATTCTTGGCGTGGTTGCGGTACATCCTATGGCCAATGAAAATGATTGAGATAATTGAAAAAATTTGCTGAATATGTATTGCGCGGGAACCGTACAATAACTAAGTGGAGGGTTGCCCAGTCCAGCTTATTATATAGGTAGTCTAGACCCAGCTGTTGTAATTGCTTGCATGGCCCTGACAGTGATCGGGACGGTGATATCCAATGAAGTCAAAATGTCTTGGCAATAAGCAAGGAACGCTTATAATCGCTCCATTATGACGAGTATAATTGAAGGCGGTCCTCATTGTCTGCGCGTTTTAAATTTTCAAGCACCAAGTGGTGTTTTGGAGAGAGAACTGTTTTACATTGCTACGCCAGTAGGGTCTGCTTAACCGAAGATGAAGTCATTGAATGATACTATTTTATGACCCCTTAGAGGAGTATGCACATATTTAAATACCGGCTATCACGGTCCATTGTTGTAAATCGCAATTTACCAACGCATTTGGAGTTTTGGTGGTGTGATAGAGCTAGTTGCGGTACGATTAATCAGGGAGATGAAACGGCTTTCCTGGCGATACATCATATACCGGTTCCCTTGTGCTGACTGTCTAAAACAGCTGTAGTCTAACTCGTATGTGACAATGGAGCGTTAGTTTTTGTCAAAAGTTCGTTGTTTTCTGTAAGGAAAGCAAATTTCCCGCATAGTGTAATAACCCCTGCATATGCGTACTGTGTGCGTCAGGCGGGCCCTTGATGCGTAGTTTATTGTTCAAGCTTAGTGCTCCATTGTTAGATGTCTCAAACATAATTCCAGAAGGATGTAGACTCAACTATATATTGTGTAAATCGTTGTTTCATGTTCGTATGAGAATCAGACGACCACAAATTCTAAAAATTAGCTCTTGATTTTAATTATCGCGTCTACGTGCCTGAAGCCGTGTCAGTCAAGGTGCATAACCAAGGAATTTCAATGCCAATTTCGGTTCAATTATCTCTATAAGTAATGCAGTTAACTGTGGCTTACAATATTTTTGAAAGGTCTCGTCTCTTGTGTCATACAAGTTGCCTTTCTAGTTGATTGCTATTGCCTAGATTAGACGAATTAGCTGAGCTCTCTGGTATCGATCTGCAGCAACATTTTTGGTTTTTCCCAACTGGGAATATCCATGAAACAAAAGTGCGACTTGGGAGAAACGATACGCAAGGGGGCGAAATTGTTTGACGGTTTTAAATCAAATCTATAGACCTGTCTCACATTTACAGAAGGTTTCATTAGGCACTATTCCGGATATGTGTTTCAGTTATGACCAGAACAAAGGCACTTCTATCGGGCACAAAATCTCTCTTGATATACCGGTTCCCACTACATCTTTATGAGAACATAAAAGCCTGGATTGGAACGGCGTGCGCAATACAAAGTTTTTAAGGGGCTGTCTGTGGCGTTTCGGCAAATGCCTCAGTAAGCCATAAGCACAACCAGTGCTGGTTTTCCTTCAAATCAACTTTTGGGGCAGTCTGTTGGAAATGCAAGGATACGTTAATTTCCACAGAATTATACATTAACACTCAAAAATTCAGGTCCCAGTCTGAGCGATATCTGATACGGGCTAAGAGAAAGTCGAAAAGCCATATCCCGGGCTCCGGACACGGTTAACGGCGTACACCGTACCTCTGTCTCTTCTGCTGTGTATCTAGGTTCTCTATATACAAAGCAGCCTATAACAATCACGTGGCGGATTTAAGTGACATGTATTGAACCTCCTCTTTCAGTATGTTATGCGGCAAACCGATCCCATCTCTTATGGAACGGGTGCTTTGCCATACGAAGGGTACCTCCGTTCTTACCTATTCACGCTGCGTGTTGTCATGCGGGTCAATCCAGGCAACGGCTGTAGACGGTTTTTTTCGCACCAGCGCTAGCAATTTCAGATCACCAAGACATCAAGATTGCCTTCACCTACCGTAAATAATTACTTAATATCCCAGATTAGTACCAGGTCTCCCTTCTAGAGTGGCAAGCACTGGTTACAGCATACTCGTTCTGTTTGAATATATCGCTCATAATGCTCCAAGGCTTCATGCATAAGCTACGCGCAGTCCAACTGTTAGCCTGTATATAGCCCGCCCCTTCTCCGCCTGCATATATCCGCTCAATGATTTGCCTTGGTTAAAATGCAAAACAACTCGCTGCAACACCACCACTCGGCAGATATTAAACTCACAACCATGGACTTGGTAACCAAACGACGCAGACGTATGGTATCGCCGGATAGACGAAAGAAGGTTACCCAGGCATGCGATTCGTGCAAAAGGCGTAAGCAAAAGGTACGTACCGAATATGACGGAGGAACAGCGGATACCGTCAAATGAGAGAATTAGCTGATGAGTGGATGACAGATAAAATAATCCGCGACCCATCAAGATGGAGGTGTACTGGATATCTAAGAGGGTTTGACCTGATTGATGCTAGGCGTAATCACACCCAGTATCGATCCAGCCTGGAAGGTGAGGTCGACCAAAGGCTATCCTAAACCATCCATTTTTCAAGCCATTCAACAAAAAAAACATGGCCCGAGACTCCTGGAAAAAACTGCATCTATATATTCACCCACGCTTAGAGACAATTTACTGTAAAGATAGCCCAACTATCCATCCCCACATGCCATTATCCCTTCATTATCCCTTCATTATCCCTTCATTCTCCTCTTTTTCTTTCAATACTAACCTATAGTGTAACGGAGGAGCTCCGTGTAACACGTGCGCCTCGCGCGACGTGGAATGTGTATACAGTGAGATTGACCGCCGGTCACTCAAGTCGCTCAAGACACATTCGGCGACACCGGTGCAGTCGCTGAACGAAAATTTTGCACACTTCCACTCCCTCTCACCCGATCCATTCCGTCTGGAGGTGGCAACTGTTTTAACCGCACCCTCATTCGACCCACCACGCGCCAAGTCGTACATACCCGCGAGTCTTCAACCGCTCTTGTCGTTTCCGATAGAGTACCCAGATGACCACGTACCCTGTTCTGACAATGGACTCTTTGCACACACGGGTTCCGGGGATACTGAAGCCGACAACGATGCGCACTCAGCATCTGTGCATAACCTCTCGATCTCGCGCATGGTGTCGGACACCGCCGGGAATTTCCGCTACATGGGCGAGAGTTCTACGCTCTCGCTCTTGTCGCAGACGCGCAAAATCTATCTCCGGGTATTGGGTCCGTCGCGCTACACGGACGACCCGCTGCGCATCCACGTGCACGACTTTCCGCACGCGCTCAGCAGTAAGCGCACGTTGCAGTTACCGCTCCGCGCCTTCACGGACCACCTCGTGCTCTGCTTCCAGGACTGCGTTAACGAGCTTCACCACATCTTTGACATGGCCTACCTCAAGAATGTACTCATCGAGGGCATCTACAGCGACCCCATCAGCGCAACGCCACGCCAGCTCTGTCTCCTCCACTTGGTGTGCGCTGTGGGTGCGGTATACGCGAACATCGCGCGCGACTTCCCCGGCAACATGGTGCCCGCGGAGGAGTTCTTCCAGAACGGGATCCACTTCATCCACCAATCGGTCGAAAACGGCAACTTGTGGCTCGTAGAGGCGTATACGCTCATCTACTTGTACTACCAGAGCGTATGTAAGCTCAGCACCGCGTGGGTCTTCCTCGGGACGGCCATCCGCTTCGCGCAGGCGCTCGGCATGGACAAACAACCCGTGAATGACTCGTTCGCGAACAAGAGCTACGCGCTCCATCGCCGCAAGTTGTGGCGCTCGCTCTACATCCACGACCGCCTCGTGTCCAGTCATTTGGGGCGTAACTTCACGATCGAGGACTACCAGTGGACAGACTACAACAACATCCCACCCGCGCAATGCGAGCCCGCGCTCGGCACCAGCGAGGCCAGCAAGATCGTGTTTCGCGAGCGATGTGAGCACGAGCTTCTCCGCGTGTGCCGCATCCTCGGCCGTGTGACGTACGAAGTGTACCTGACGCCACGCGTGGACGTGCGGCGCGCGCGGCTCCTCGCGGTGGAACTCAAGCTCTGGGCGATCCACCTCCCGCCGGACCTCCAGGTCCGTACGCTCCTCCGTGAGAACCGCAGCGGCTACTACACCGACTGCCACCCACTTCATCTTCTCCATTTGACCCATCTCCATGCCATCATGGTGCTCAGCCGGCCATTCTGCAACTTCCACATCCTCGCGCATTTGGGCTTTCTCCGCTTGAACCGCCGCTCGCGCCAATTTGAAGTCATGGAGATGTTCTACGAGGCGCTGTTGAAAGCCGCGCTCCTCACCATCAAGCTCTCCGAGTACATCTTTGAGGAAAATGTGCCGCCCCTCAAACCGCGCCTCTTGTTCAACTACGTGTTCCACTCTGGGTTGATGGTAGGCATGGTGTTGCTCGTGCAGCAGCGTGGGAAGCTGGAGCCGGCCGAAGCCTCAAAGTGTGACCTTCCCGTGGTACTGTGTGCCACGTTGGGCTCTGCGATCAGGGTGCTCCAGGCCTGGGCTGAGGTGGACCTCATCGCCAAACGGTACAGCTACATCTTGCGCGATATGCTTGAGGCGTTTGTTGCGGGAGAGTCCGTAGCAACGGCGCCTGTGACAACAGTTGATAGTAGAAATGGGCCAGACAAAAGCGATAGCGACGCTCAGGTTCCTCCTTCGTTGTTTGACAGTGCGGGTGCTAACGACCTCCAGACCATTGACGATCTCCTCGACTTCCAGAACTGGATCGCCATGGCGGACTCAACGACCCATCTGACCAACGGCCAGATCTACCATACCACCATGAGCCGCGTTAACAGTTCGGTTGAGCAGCAATATAGCAAGCCCGGGGCTGGGGAATCCGTGGTAACTGCCGTACCGGACCCTATATACCCGGGCGACCTGGCTAGCGACACCTCCGCCGAGTTGTTCTTTGTGGATATGAGGGACTTGGGCATGGCTGCATTCGAGGGTGCGTTTATGTTTGATATCGGTAACTAGGGAAATGTATTTTTCGGTGTTCTTGTTGGAGGAAAGGGGTAGAGTACAAGACCGGGTGGGGTTTCTGGGACGACTGACTGAGCGTTGGAACAGGTGGTCTGCCCAGTGTAGCAATGTTTAGAAACCAAGGGTGTTGATACCAGAAATTAAGTCCTGGGTCATCGCCGTGACGAGCTAATTGCTATAGGATCAATACGCGGAAATATTGGTTCTGTTTTGTAGTCTAGTTTGGGGCATTTCTCGCTTATTGAGCTGGATCTGGGAGACTCTGTCTAGTTCCATTCAGCTGGATCGATGGGCGTAAATGCTTCGCTAGAAAATACGAACAATATACAGGATTCCTTAGACATTCTCTGTAAAGCACCCCTAACGTCCATTGTCTATCCCAGACAATCCGTGGTCCGTTAAAAAAAATCCTCAAGCTGTCGTTGGGTGCTTTAAAATTGATACCAAGTTTTTCTGGCTTCCGACTTTTGATTATACTGTAACTTGCATTTTAACTCGCATTTGCATCAGACATGCATGCCGGAAAACATGGTGTTTTTCCAATGGCACCACTCCATTCGAACACAACACTTCGCTCGTCACGTTAGTACTCCCCCATCCATCAATGTCAGAGTTCCAGCGAAAACTATTCAAAGTTGAGACTCCCGGAAGGGGTGCGGAAAGCCTCGCGAGCTCTACCCCGGACGTGTATGTACGCCTCCACCTTATCGGGAATATGTGCTAACAACGCCAGGGCAAAGGAAGCCTACTTTCAGGTAAATGAGGTATACGAAGATCCACAGACTCGCATCCGGTTTCAAACTTTCTACACGCCTCCATCGGGTAACGGGCCATTGTACGTCTTCCACCATGGGGCCGGCTCCTCCGCGATGTCGTTTGCCCTTTTAGCTAGGGAACTTCGCGAGCGATGGAGAGACGATTCAACGCCGATTGAATGCGGTGTATTCGCCTTTGACATGCGTGGACATGGTCTTACACACGGCGGTGAGTCCTTGGACTACTCGCTTGCCCGTCTAGTTGCAGACTTTTCGTTCGTAACAAAAGAACTCTTCCGCCGTCACTTCAACGATACGGCCCATCCGTCAACCTTCCTCGTGGGCCACTCCTTGGGGGGAGCAATATTAACCAATGCAGTTTCCGCAAACCGGCTCGCACCGCTCAAGGTTACCGGTTTGGTCATGCTCGATATCGTGGAAGAAACGGCTATACGATCCCTCTCGGTCATGCCACTGTACCTCAAGACCAGGCCCAAGCAGTTTGCATCACTTGATATGGCAATAAAGTGGCACTTACGGACCAATCTCCTCCACAATTTCCGGTCGGCGCAGATATCTGTGCCGGCCATATTGTCTCGCGACGCTTCGGAGGGGTACTGCTGGCGGACCCGGTTGGAAGACACGGAGCCCTACTGGTCCTCTTGGTTCCAAGGGTTGTCCTCCCGGTTTGTTGCACAGACTCCCTCGCTGGCGAAGCTTTTGATCCTCGCCGGCCAGGATAAATTGGACAAGGAGCTCATGATAGGGCAGATGCAGGGTAAGTATCAGTTGGTGGTGTTTCAGGACTCGGGACACTTTATCCAGGAAGACTGTGTGTCCAAGACTGCCATCACGTTGGTGGAATTCAGCAAGCGCAATGACTTGTTGGGGTTTATGGACCAAAAAGGACCGGTAATAAAGGCGCTCTGGGGAAAGGTCAACTCTATTTGAGGTCTCCGGATTTTGTTTTTAGTGGAATGAATTACAACTGAATGAATTACAACAAGGCGGATTGTCATTTTCAAAGATTTATTATATATATGATAATCTAACATGTGTTTCGTCGAATATGTCTAAGCTATTGTTGATTTGTAATATCTAAATTAGTATTTATACCGAGCAGGGATATACCGTGATATATATCTATGTCCAACTCTTTATATGGCTAAAAAAAAGTATATATTTTGATTTAAAGGGAAAATTCACATATATAATATACGACTGGGTTGACTAAAATGTACAGCCAAAATATTTTCAATCTATAATATCTGGATTCACCCAACAATATATACACTTACAATATGTATACGCCGTGGTTTCGATATCTATGTGCATGGTTGAACTTAAAGCTATGATGTACCTATATGCACCTAGCTGCTCACGGTCTCCTGCGCCTGGACAATACATCCTGCAAACCTTCAATCCCCGGAGTGCTCCATGTACAATTATATTCCGGTAACTAAGCTGGAATTTGGGGGTGCGGAACTGCGAATAGCCGTCTGTGAAAAGCACTCACGAAACCTTGGACATGCGCAGCAACACTCTTAGCCATGACGTGCTTGTTATATTAACAGGAAAATCCAATCTGCAGTGGGAAAAGGATTCAGAAATACAACCCGTGGCACATATGGCCTACCCTTTACAACCATGTGTTTACCTATGCTATCGGATATACACAAATAACGGTGAACAGATCCAGCCTTAAGGCCCATAAACAGGTCTCAATTCACCAAGCTCCCCGCGCAGAACCCACCTACGCACGTTCGTGTGATAAGCTCTAGTGCCCCGCGCGTTAATAGTCAAGGTTTCGGATATAGTATTCGATACCGTCGTAAATCCGCGACCAGCCGCATATATTCATTAATTTACTTTATTTAACCGTCGGAATAATGCTGTTCAGTGAGATATCGGGCTTATTCTAATGATTAATGTTCCAACCCCTAAACCAAGTGAGGGGTTTGCGTTACAAAATATCCAGTTACATTAATGCAGCTTATAGCCGGTATAGAGGCAGCGGAAATATGCATCTTGGGGTATGAATACATCTCCCGCGCAGGAGTTCCAGCGTTTTAGTCAAAATGAGTATATGAATCTCTCTCGCGCAGAGCACTTCTTCTAATATAGCGTTGGGTTCCTCACATCCAACTAGAGATGACTATAAAACGGCTGGCCAATCCTTTGGCTTTTCAACCTCAAAGTTTATCAGCAAGTTTCGCAGTTCTATACCAAACTAGACACTATGACCGTTGATATCATTCACTACGATGCCATTGTCGTTGGTGGGGGCTTTGGCGCCGTCAGATCTTTATACAACCTTAGAAAGGCCGGCTACAACGTTCACGGCTATGAAAAGGGCTCCGCTATCGGTGGTGTCTGGCACCACAATCGTTATCCAGGCGCTAGAGTTGACTCGGACATCCCGATCTACCAATTGTTTTTGGAGGAGTCATGGGATGTATTCAAGTTCACTGAGTTGTATCCGGGATGGAAGGAAATCCAGGCTTACTTCAAGCACGTAGACGAAAAGTTGCAGATTTCCAAGGACTTCACCTTCAACTCTACTGTGACGGCTTGCCACTGGAATGATGCCTCCAATAAGTGGACAGTCACTTCCCAGTCCACCGATCTTGGAGAGATTGTCAGTACTGCTACCCACATTGTTTTCTGTACTGGTTTTGCTGCTAAGAAGATAATTCCACAGTTCAGGAACCAGGAAGGGTACAAGGGCCAGTGGTTCCACACCGCTGACTGGCCATGGTCTGGCGTCGATATCAAGGGCAAAAAGGTTGCGGTAATCGGAACGGGTGCATCTGGTGTCCAATTAATCCAGGAAATCGCCTCGGAAGTTAGCTCATTGACCGTATTCCAGAGAAACATCAACACGGCCATCCCGATGAGGCAGCGCAAGTTGACCCCTGACGCCCCAGAGAACAACAAGAACTTTGCTGAGACTGAAGCCGCCATCAAGAAGAGCTCTGCTGGTTTCACCTGGACCAACATTCCATACAGGTACACTGATTTGATGCCAGAGGAACGTAGGGAGCAGTTGGCCAAGATCTACGAGACCGGCGGGTTGCGTTTTGTTTCCGGTAACTTTTTAGACGCGGTCACCAACAAGGATGCCAACAAGTATTGTTATGAGTTCTGGAAGGACTCTGTACGTGCCAGAGTCAAGGACCCAAGAAAGGCCGAGCTTTTAGCCCCAACCCAGCAGCCATACTGGATCTTCACCAAGAGACCATCGTTGGAGCAAAACTTCTACGAGGCTTTCAATCAGGACAATGTGGATATCGTGGATTTGCGCAACGACTCTATCGTTGAGTTCACCGAAACTGGGATCAGGACCACTACCCAGGAGTTTGACTTTGATATTGTCGTTTTTGCCACTGGCTTTGATGCTGTTACTGGTGGTTTTACCCAGGTTGATATCAGGGGCCAAAATGGTCTCAAGTTGAGCGACAAGTGGAAGAACGGCACCTTTACCCATTTAGGAATGACTATTGCCGACATGCCGAATTTCTTTTTCATGTACGGTCCTCAAGGCCCGACCGCCTTCTCCAACGGCCCAACGTGTACCACCATCCAATCTGACTGGGCGTTGAATGCCATCAACCACGTAAAGAAGAACAACTTGAAGTACATTGTCCCTAGTGCCAAGGCCGAACAGGAATGGAGAAAGAGGGTGAATGATTTATGTGAAGCAACCTTGTTTCCAGAAACCAAGTCTTGGTTCATGGGCTCCAATGTGGAGGGGAAGACTATTGAAGCTTTGAACTATATTGGTGGGATTAAATCGTACGTCGAGCTAATCGATGATGCCGAAAAGGACTACAGCAGAGATTTCATTCTTGTCTAGACATGTGCTGGATCACGGCACTTTTATCCTGTCCTGACAGTTAGGTAACTCTTCGCAGAGATTAACGCCGATGTTTTAATATGATTAATATTTCATGTCCGCTGTAGATTTTAACCCACCGGGTTGTATGAGTGGTAAATTTCAATAGTTTAAAAACTATTGACTAAGCATCATCTAGGTTTCATCCAAACCTATGTCGACATTATTATTTGAGCTCTAGCATGGATGTAAGCTTTTTAATTCTTTTTCCTGATACACACGTAAGAATACGAATCAGGATTACCTCTACGGAAATCGCTACAGTCTTTGGGTACTAACGGTGAATCAGAATTTTCAGAGGCCTACATCGATTACAGGACCAGACAACAAGTATTAGTTGAGGCGTTAGATGGGGGTTTGTGTTAGGAACGTATTAAAGTACATTCTTCACTTATATGAACACTTCAAGTACTCAGTTATATCCAGGAACTAGCCAGCGACAAGCAAACAAGGTGCAATCAAGACACCGGTACTCACAAGGCATTTGAAACCTATTCATTAATGACAACCTTCCCCCTGTAATACAAGATAAAAGTAGTGAAACGAGATCCATCAATTTCAGAGCGAAAAGGAAAAATAACGAAGAAAAAATAGGAAAAAAAAAGATTATAGATAAACACAGTGAAGCATTAGCATCACCGGAGCTGAATACAACTATGCATTCAAGTTATAACCCTCCAAAATCTAGCATCCAGTCGCTCGATTGCTAACACACACTTGACAGTCCCCGTTGCCATGCGCGTGTCCACTAACGTTGTTCTGGCATGAGTAACTAGATATGCAGTGCATCATTAGTTCTCCAGCTCGGGTTATAACAAGGTTACCTGAAATGGGTCTACCTGGACCAAGGGTTATGTAACAGTTGTTTTTCTGTTGGGCCCTACCCGGACCGTAAGTTTGACTCGGGTCCAAACTGTCCGCAGCGTCCAAGCAGTCACAGGTCCAAACTATGTGAGTTGAACTACAATCGTAGTCAATTGCTTAACCCACCCGCAGCCGTGTTTCTTCAACCATCCCTCTAATAATTGCCTGCGTGGCAAATGCTACCGATGGAGGCACGTCAGACATCACATTCGTATGATTCCAGGAGCTAAAGTAGTCCTCAGTGATCGACTGCCATTCACCAGCCGGCATGAAGTTTAAATCCTCGATAGTAGCGGTCTCATTGTATTCATTGGCTCGTAACACGTCAAAGAACGTTACCAACATAATGGCATCATAGAAGTGGTTGTTCGCAAGCGCGGTGTTAATAGTTTCCAGTACTTGATCGTAATCACCAAACGCTGAGCCTTGATTGTCGCCGGCGAACTGCGACATCATAGCCAATATTCCACCAGTGGTGAAATTAGTAGCAACATCACGCTTAGTGACTAGAGAGTTGTTGGCGGCATATATATCCTGAAATATAGGTGTCAGTATCTGCACTGGTATTGTCGTGTGGATAAGCATCGCGGTTACCACCTAGTTGTATGATTTTTAGAGGAAGGCGAGGTGACCCTTATATACCACTAGGATAACCATATCACACCACTTCGGAAAAGGGAGGAGTTGCAGGACGCGTATAGTAACCTCTAATGCGAGCCATTCTTTTATTTATTATCCACGCTGAAAACATCCAATAGGTTGGTACGCTCAAATATCTCTCCTTTCATGGTGAGGTTATCCGTATAGATAACCATTGAGTTTCAGAACATTGCAAGTCCGGATATTCGACCCCCCCCCCCCTCGTTACATGTATGCTTATTGTGGGGTTGCCTCGCCGCACCGGTTTGAAAAAGCCCTCAACAAATGCAGGTTCATTTGGCGGGTTGCCATTAGGAATATTTCCGCAATATTCGCTTGTTAAACTTCCAAAGCCCCCCAGGGAGAGAATAGTAGCCCAACCAACCAGGGAAATAAAATGGTTGTACTCATTCAGACAGTCGTTGTTGGTCGATATCTTATCTCCGATAGAATTATGGTTATACATCTTTCATCGGACATTTCGGTATCATATCTTCCTTCAGTATATAAACACATCGACTCCTCCTCGTTTCATGTATATCTCACGGATGGAAGGAATTTTCTTTTAGCCAACAGTATTTACTATTACCTACTAGGTATACCACACCGATGGTGGCTTCCAGTTGATATAGATAGCCTATGCTTTCCACCGATCGGTGCAACATTTACCCGTCACGTGGTTTATATAGAGTTGCTACCAGGAACGTTCAAGGTATGCGTATTTACCGGAAACTTCATGGTCTCAAACCGACTTACTCCTGCCGGTCAAGACGCAAGGGCACGTGTGGCTGGTGTTGGTGGAGGCTCGGGAGATTGCCTTCCATGCATTTAGCCTCCCAACCTTATCGCTATATCTCTCGGCGGGTGACTCGGAAAGATCATCGACGCTGAAACTTCCCAGAGCCCATGGTCCTTAACATTAATGGCGTCCGTATACAAGTGTCAGGGAGTACACTTTAAACCAAGTTCCGCTTTTCTGAGTGAGCGCGATCACTTACAGACAGAGCTAGTCGTCTAAACTTAGCAATCCAATTAATATACCGCCACTAGTGCCTAGAGAAGCATATGCTGCATTCAAAAACATGGAGAAGGGGGGAGAAACTCCGAATGTCAGTTGTTACCCGCCATGACCAGCATAATTGCTGCCGAATAGATAGGTGGTGTCTCAAATTCCGTGTGCCCTACCGGACAGTCGTCACGTGTGAACACGCACCCCCCGAAACCGCTCGGAGTTTTGCAGTCCTCAAATACCGCCTGCACCGAGTAACTATTAGTCAGAGACTCGTAACAAGGCCTAAGCCAGGCGGTACGGGCACGCCTCCTTAGTAATTTCCCCTCTGATCCCCGGGCAACCCGGTTCTTTGGACGGACCCACACCACGCACCGCCCAACTTTTTATCCTTTGGAAAATCGGTAATTTCTATATATACGTGCGTCCCGCCCCTTGTTTCAGTCCTTGCTTCGACTTTCTTTTCCCCCACATATTATTAATTTAATAACTTACTTATAAAAATGTCTGCTCCAACGTATGTCACCTACCTTTAATAGAACAGAATGGCAATTGATGGATATGAGGGCAAGGACGAAGTATTGCTCCAATGCCATTGGCGATCCATGATTGGAAGGTAATGGCAGCACGGAACCGGTTGTGGAGACAATCTTCAAAACGCTGTCTGGTCAGCTTCCGTAAAGATCCCATCATGCATTGCCGTTGCTTTCCAGCTGTCAACCTCATCAATTGGAGCCCTCTGGGTGCGGCCTTTCGCCGCCCTCCGGGAAATTTCTCAACCCTGTTCTTGTACTAACGTCTCTAGTGGTGATATTGGTTTAATCGGTTTGGCCGTTATGGGTCAAAACTTGATTTTGAACGCTGCTGATCACGGTTACACCGTCGTCGCCTACAACCGTACTGTCAACAAGGTCGACCACTTCATGGAAAACGAAGCCAAGGGCAAGTCCATCATCGGTGCTCGTTCCATCGAAGAACTCGTCTCCAACTTGAAGTCCCCAAGAAGAATCATTATTCTTGTCAAGGCCGGTAGCCCAGTCGATGCCTTCATCGACCAATTGGTGCCATACTTGGACAAGGGTGACATCATCATCGACGGTGGTAACTCCCACTTCCCGGACACCAACAGAAGATACGAGGAATTGAAGGCCAAGGACATCTTGTTTGTCGGTTCCGGTGTTTCCGGTGGTGAGGAAGGTGCCAGATACGGCCCATCCTTGATGCCAGGTGGTGCCAAGGAGGCCTGGCCACACATCAAGGAGATTTTCCAGTCCATTGCTGCCAAGTCCGACGGCGAGCCATGCTGCGACTGGGTCGGTGATGCCGGCGCCGGACACTACGTCAAGATGGTCCACAATGGTATCGAGTACGGTGACATGCAATTGATCAGTGAGGCCTACGACTTGATGAAGCGCGTTGGTGGCTTTTCCTCCAAGGAGATTGGCGAGGTCTTTGCCCAGTGGAACAAGGGGGTTTTGGACTCTTTCTTGATTGACATCACCAAGGACATTTTGGCGTTCGACGACGTCGACGGCAAGCCAATGGTTGAAAAGATCTTGGACTCTGCTGGCCAAAAGGGTACCGGTAAGTGGACCGCCATCAACGCTTTGGACTTGGGTATGCCAGTTACCCTCATTGGTGAGGCTGTCTTTGCCAGATGCTTGTCGGCCTTGAAGGAAGAGAGAGTTCGTGCCTCCAAAGCCTTGGCGGGTCCACAAGTGTCCAAGATCACCGACAAGAAGCAGTTCGTCGACGACTTGGAACAGGCTTTGTACGCCTCGAAGATCATCTCTTACGCCCAGGGGTTTATGTTGATCCGTGAGGCCGCCAAGGAGTACAAGTGGGAGTTGAACAACGCTGCTATTGCTTTGATGTGGAGAGGTGGCTGTATCATCAGATCTGTCTTCTTGGGTGAAATCACCTCTGCCTATAGAGCGACCCCAGACTTGGAGAACTTGTTGTTGCAGCCTTTCTTCAAGAATGCCATCACCAAGGCTCAGTCCGGTTGGAGAAACACCATCGGCGAAGCCGTCAAGTCCGGTATCCCAACCCCAGCCTTCTCTACCGCCTTGGCGTTCTACGACGGTTACAGATCCGCGAGCTTACCAGCCAACTTGTTGCAGGCCCAGCGTGATTACTTCGGTGCCCACACCTTCCAGGTCTTGCCAGAGGCCGCCTCCGCGACCTTGCCAGCCGGCCAGAGCATCCACGTCAACTGGACGGGTAAGGGTGGTAACGTTTCTGCCTCCACCTACGACGCCTAAGCGAGTGTGAATGAGTATATTCTGTATCTTTTAACATTAATGTAGATGGAAATAAATCAGTGACACCATTGGTCTGAGTCTTTCTAGGGTGTAGCTTATTTTTTATGGTGGGCAAATGATAGAGCAGAGTTCTGAAAAGGTTAAAAAAGAACTCCGCGACGGGGAATTGAACCCCGGTCCCCCGCGCGACAAGCGGGGATTCTAGCCACTAAACTATCACGGATAAGGTTTAGATGTAAAAAACATGGCTGCAGCCTTCGAAACTGAAAATTGTGTATGCCACCATTTATATTAAGTAGGATATGTACATAGCAGATTGGTTGTTTACTAGTGGCATTAAAGCAAAAAAATATTATTATTTCTAAGGGTAATATAACCTTTAATATATTTGACATCATTATTTCTCTCTGATACACAATGTGAGATGATTATTGTGAATGAATCAATTACAAAATATTTTCAAGAGGCAAGATATGCAAACTTCCAAATGACTGGAAATACAGTAAATCCCTTAGCCTTCTCTTTTTGCCATCCTCTATAACAAAGCGTGGTTGGCATTACAGGTTTCAACATGGTGCTCGTGGGCTTGGATGATTACAAGACCAAAGGTGGAGTATATCCTCACAAAAGACAAATCAAAACAACCGGACTGGAGAAGGGTAGCTGCCATCCTTCCGGAAACCCCGATATTCGTAATTAGGTGGTTTAAGCCAAAGGTCGGACAGTTGTATACTACACCTATCCATATTAGGGCTACGCCGGAATCAGCTTTAGACGCTCATAAAATGGGGGACAAACAGAGTATTATTTTGAGCCTTATACTTTGATTATTGTTGTCTCCTGAAGGTAACAACTCATCGTATCATCTAGTACCAATTTATCAAGAACCCCTGCCAGTGTCAAGGTGGAGACAGCGCCGCTGCATATGTATCTCCTGCATCTTACCAGTATCTGAAAAATTATTCAAGAAGCCATCTCCATACAGCTCGTCCGATAGCCATATAACCCACTATATTCCATGTCCGACTTAACAGACCTCTCAGCGCACTTCCAAAACATGGCGTACGCGCTTTTAGTGGCATACAAGTCCCTTTGCCTGAAGGAAGTGCCCGTGGGCTGCATCTACTACCACACCCCCACCCAGAAGGTGATTGCCACAGGCTACAACGACACCAACGCGTCGCTCTGTGGAACGCGCCATGCCGAATTCATTGCACTTGAAAAGATCTTGGCCCAGAAACAGTTTAAGGATAATCGGGAGGTGGTGGAGTATATGCACGGCGTGGTGCTCTACGTGACAGTTGAGCCCTGCGTGATGTGCGCGAGTGCCTTGAAACAATTGGGGCTCAAGAAGATCTATTTTGGATGTCTGAACGACCGGTTTGGTGGTAACGGCTCGGTTCTCAATATTAACAGGAGACAAACCCCTCAAGACGCTTCTACATACGTTTCGTACCCCGGGATCTTCCGGCTCGAGGCGGTACTCCTTCTCCGCCAGTTCTACAACCAGGTTAATCCAAACGCTCCACAGCCAAAGATTAAAAAGAGCTATAACGTGTTTAAGTTGGAGTTTCCTCAGTTGAACTACAAGTTGTACACATCCCGAGACGAGTTTGTGGAGACGTACGGCGAGGGCCGCGCACACATGTACGACCTTTCGAAGGATGGAACGGTGGTCTACGAAAATAGCGACGAAGGAAAGCTCTCCCAGAGCTTGCGTGACCACGAGATGATGCCACAGCTGGAGTTCTATCATTTGAGGAGCTTTTTGGAGGGTATTAGAAAGAACGCAGATAGGGTGTTCCTTGAGGAGTATGACTTTGCGACAGCCGAGGAAGAGGAAGCGTTCATGCTGATCTTTGACGTGATCCACTACGATTTGTTTGCGCTACCGCGAGACGAGAGGGCCAAGCGGGATATTAGCGATGAAGAAGAGCATTCCGAGAAGGTCAGACGGGTGGAATAGAGGTGAGATGTCATGCAGAAAAGGCAACATAGTCTGAACCAATGGGAGCATTTAACATTGAACTAGCACCATATCACAAATTAATAGGATCGTTGAGCTAGCATCATGTCACAAATTGATAGGATCATTGAGCTAGTATCATGTCACAAATTGATAGAATCGTTGAGCTAGCATCATGTCACAAATTGATAGAATCGTTGAGCTAGCATCATGTCACAAATTGATAGAAACATTTGGCAAATAAAACTAGTGTTTGATAATGAAAAATTTCCGTTACATTACCCCTTTCCTAATTAGACCAGGAGGTCTGACGGATATTGTGAATGATCCTCCAAGCAAGGACTGAAAGTACCCGGACAGAACATCCATTGCATAAGCTTGTAAGTTACCCTTCATTTGGGATAAAACTGCACTCACAATATAATTGCCATTGAACCCATTTCCGTGTAGTTGCATTTTCAATACCGAAACCTGCGGATAAACCCCTCTGTAAACTCTCCCGGCCTTACCTAGTTTCTCAAAATGCATACCGCGGAGCTAGCTCATTCCCCACAGAAACCGGAGATTTCGGTTAAAACCACTGGTCACCGCTAAATAATATTTAAAGGTTGGCCGATGCATCACCATAACATGGATTGCTTTTGGTCAGGGGCCCTACACTCGGATCGACTCTTTTTTGAACTTATATTCGTAATTTTGTGACACTCGTGGGATCTAATGTATTTATTTGGCAATGGTCTGCAAGACTTCCAAGACCTCCAACTGGATGGCGGCTTCGGCAGCAACGGCTTCGTCAGCAGAGGAAACGTTCTTCTGGGCAGCGGCAATCAAGGTTCTGATCTCATCAGCGGAAAAGTCTTCGGCCTTGTACGCTTCGATGGCGGTGATGGACAAGGTGTTGTCTGGTTGCATGGTAGCGACACCACCAGAGACAAAATACTGCTCAGTTTCACCCTCAACCGGGGTGACTTCAACGAGACCTGGGACCAACTGCTCGATGATAGGAACGTGGGAAGCCAAGATACCCAATTCACCGGAGATGGATGGAATGTTGACCTGCTTGACAGCCTTGTTGTTGAAGATGGCCTGGTGTGGAGAGGTCAACGACAACTTCAAGACGTCGGAGGTGGCGGCCTCGGCGGCGGCAGCGTAGGATCTGACGGATCTTCTGGCTAATTGGCTGAGTTGTTGTCTGAACATTGTGCGTGGTAGGAGACGGAAGTAAGGAAAAGGGATCTCTGAGCTGCGTAGCTGTTATAAGCGCCTATATTAACCGCTGCGTAACCCTCTACACGTTATCCTGCGAACCGCTGAAAGATTTCGGGAGTGAGAAATGGCCGTTGATTGGGTGGAAGCCAATATCCACGCGCTGTTCGCGCAAAATTTTCGGCTCTGTCACGTGAAAGACGGCACGTGATTGAATATGACCGGGAGTGCCGAGTCCGGCAGGGACCGAGTCCACATGGTGAGGTCCCAAAATAGAGGTTTAGGCCGCGTACCAGGAGACATAATGGATTGTCCTGGGCAACAGGTGTAGGTTGGATTTATTTCAGATTGTGAGCGCCGCTGTCTTTAGGAGGGGTCATACTGATCTTCTACAATCAGACTCCTAGGTATCAAAATGGCCAATTTACTACTAAATCTTTGGATAGAGGTTTTGAAAGATTGGCAATTAGCCCATACGACGCTAACCTGTGCGACAGACTGTCACTCATGGATGGGAGAAACCGAGAAAAGGCTTCTCATAAGAGTAAAATGTACGACGCCTAATTGTCTGTTATTTTCCAGAAGGTTCAGCCTGACCACTATTTTAAATCGAAGTTGAAGACTAACCGGAGAAATTTAAACCAAATAATAGCTTGTATCGCCTCGATTAAATCTATTGCATAGAACAAAAACTTTTCTCATAGTCAATGGTATCCACTATGTACATCACTTGAATCGCAATATAATCGTTTCTAAAACGTAAATACTCAGAGAAATAGTCCTGTGGACAACAACTAAGGATTCAAAGTCGTCATCCGGCAGAATAGTTCAAAAAATAATATTATAGAGAGATTACATAGCTGTTCCCTGCCCCCCTACCCAGAATGGACTTGACAGAAAAATCTGCAAGCCTACGACATGGCACATCATAACTTACCTTTCGACATATTATTGCGAGCCCGTGCGTTCGCGCATGACCGCACGGCCATTCAACATATCGGTCACACCGTTCATATGCTGCCAGTGAATGGTACGGCCCTTACGCAACTCCACATTTGCCTCGTGCGTCCACAAGTCCGAAATGTCACGGAACTTGATCTCGGCCGCCTCAACTCCAATCACGACAGCGGTCTTGCCACCAGGCAACATATGGCGTTCTACCGACTTGACAAAGTACTCGTCGTACGGCACGGTTGGCTCACCACGCGAGCTGCGCCCCTCGCGCACCAAGTACTCGATGAACATGCAGCTCTTGATGGCGAGCCTGGCGGCGTAGGTGCGGTCCAACGACGATGGTGCGCGACCCTGTTGCACGTGCCCTGGGATCGCGGTTCTACTCTCAAATCGGCCTTTACCACTCTCCTTGATAATGTCCGCAATCAACTCGGTGGAATAAATCTTTGACGCTTTTTCGTTGCGGATGAGCAACTTGCCGCCACGGTTGTCACCAACATCCTTGGAGAAGGATTCGTGGAGAAGCGCAATGTCTTCCTGGATCTTTCTCAACGTCACCTTTTCCTCCGGCGCGTACGTCGCAAGGGCGCCGGTGATGAGCGATGTGAAGGCTGCGAGGTATCCGGAATTCCCCCCTTGCACCTCCACAACGAAAATCCGGCGCCGCGACGCTGACGCGGATTGCTTGATCGCGTCGCAGTAACCGGTCAACACGTTCAAACAGGTGTCGGACCCCAAGGAATACTCCGTCCCGGGAACATTGTTTGAAAGTGTCGCGGGGAGACAAACAAGCGGGATGCGGAACACGGGGTAGTTCGGACGCGCGGTCTCCAACTCGTGCAACGCCACAAACGCTTCAAACCCCCCCACGATAATCAACCCGTCGAGCGCAAACTTCTGCAAGCAGTACGCGACCTGGCCAAAGTTTTCCGACGGGAGACTTCGGTTGGTGCCAATCTCAGAGCCCCCCAAATTGTGCCAGTTCTCCACGTCCAACCACTCAAGCTTGCGGAGTCGGCCCTCAGAGATGAGCCCCGTGAACCCGTTCTCAATCGCAAAGAGACTATGGCCCTTGGACAAGCAGTAGAGCGCCGCCGCACGCGTGGCCGGGTTCAATCCCGACGAGGGTGCACCCACATGGATGATCCCGATGTTTAAGCGCGCGGATTCGGGAAGAATGTCGCGCCCGTCGTCGCACATCGACGTCGATATGAACATCTTGTACGTGTCACTAAACTCGGCGTCACGCAACGCCATGGCGGCGTCAAAGTCGCGGGCCTCAATGGCCTTGGCCACCGACTGGGTGACTCTCACTGCCTCCACGAGCGGTGTGCGAACAATCTTATTCCCCTGAACACCAATCATCGGCGATGGCGTGCCCGGCTCCATTTCCGCAATCGCGTACACCGCCTCGCAGCCCTGGAGCGTCGCGAGCGCACGATCGTACGCGACGGCCGAACCCCCGCGCTGTACGTGACCCAACGTAGTGATACGCGAGTCAAGACCCATGCCGCTGAGCACTGCCTGCACGTCATCGCTGGTGATGGGGTTGAGCTCGTCGTCGATGGCGCCTTCAGCCACAATCACCGTTGTACGGCGCTTGCCCTTCTCCCGGTGGCGGTGCGCGACCGCACGCAATTCCGCGGCCCACTCGTCCTTTTTCGGAGGACGCTCCGGGATGAAGATGTAGTCCGCACCGGTCGCCAAGCCTGCCATGAGCGCCAACCAACCGCAGTGGCGGCCCATGACCTCCACCACGAATGCGCGCGAGTGCGAGTTTGCCGTCGCGTCGATGTAGTCGACCATCTCGCAGATGCGTTCGAGCGACGAGTACGCACCGATGGTTGTGTCGGTGGTGGCCATGTCGTTGTCAATAGAGCCGACCAACCCCACGACAGTCAACTCGGGGTATGGTGCGATCTGTTCGGGGGTGAGCCTTCCGAGTGACACGAGCTCCGCCGTGAGAGATGGCCAGTCAGATCTGAAGGTGTCGGCGCCGGTAAGAGAGCCGTCACCGCCACAGACAACCAACGCATCAATGCCCTGTACAATCAAATTGTAGCACGCCTGGAGCCGCCCCGCACGCTCTCGGAACGCAGCACACCGCGCTGTTCCGATCAACGTTCCACCGAGAGACAACCATCCGCGGACGTCTGCCCACGCCATTTGCTTGATCTGCGCACCGCCACCGACGAGCCCTTCGTAACCCTCGTAGATCGCAAACACGTCAAAGCCCGCATAGATCCCCGCACGCACGACCGCGCGTACCGCGGGGTTCATTCCGGGCGCATCTCCGCCCGATGTCATCACGGCAATCTTCTTCTTGCCGGAGGCCGCGCGCCGTGGTGCCGCAACCGCTTCCGGGGAGTCCTCCGTGTACTGGTCCGCGGAAAGGCATGGTGCAAGAAATGGGCGCTGCTGAGAGGAGAACCCGATGCGGTTGCCCAACGGGTCGTGCACATAGAAGTCCACATGGGCAGCTGGTTCTTCGATGGTTGGGATGTCCATTGCCGCGAGCTTGCGGCGGAGCTCTGCGATATTTGCGGAGAAAAACACGACCGCACCAGAGTTTGGTAACTGGCATACTGCGTGGTCCGTGGAGTCCGTCGCCAAACGGAGCTTTAACACCGTCTCGTCGGTTGTTTGGACAGAAGTGCACTCTTGCGCCGGCTTCTTTGCACCCGTGGCCCCGAGCGGCGTGAGAGGGAAACTCTCAAGCCAGCACTCGCGGAGCGATCCGGCGGAAATACCCGCCAAGTTGTAGCTACCTTCTTGGAGGTTAACGGTCTTGGTGTAGTTGCGCACGATTGTGAAGCCGAGACCGGTATAAAATGCGATCGCCGCGAGATAGGCCTCGTGGGAGGTGGTTACAAGCGAAGTGAATGCTACGCCGGAGATGTATGACATGGTGGAAATCAAAGGCGATGATGAGAAAATTCAACCTGTACTGAGAATTGACCTGAGAATTGACCTGAGAACTGACCTGAGAATTGACCTGAGAGTTGATGACCTGAGAATTGACGTTAACTTTATCTGAGAAGCTATCCTAGCAATGTTCACAACTGTAGGGTTTGCAATTGGCAACTAACCGATGGTATAAAATGAAATAACAGGTCAATTGAGTAGACTTGGTTTGGGATCGTTGGAAGAACAAGCCTATAGGAATAGGCGAGCAGGCTCAAAGCTTCCTCGTTGCGAAGGGATGGCCATCAGCTGATATGCCGGTGCGGCGCACGACGGTTGCCCCTCACAAAACCCCAGGGACGACCGGAATGCTGGCTGCAGGTGATTCCGGACTGAGCTCGGATTATCAGGTGCGGGAAAACAGCTCGTGGTTACAGCATCCAGAGGGTTGATATTAATCGAGAAGCATTGAGAGATTAAGAGGAAAGGCTATGGTTGTGACTACTAGCTCTAGGTGATTGATGAGAGAATATTTATACGTATGGGTCGAGACTTGGCATCAAGTGCTATGTTTTAAGCGTTGCTGCCCTTGAAGTGTAATATGGCCTAAGATATTAATGGCCTTTATTTCGAGTACTGTACGTGCCTTCTAAGAAGGTGGACAAAAATAAATGCACGATTTAGATCCGTGGGACTGGGGTAGTTTAGGAAACTTCAATCCTAGTTGTACAATGATTTCTAAAATTAACCTCAAAACTATATGCGTATTCAATCTAAGGTAAACGGGGTAACCTCTTCTGATACCGTAATAGAATACCCCTTAACAGACTATTGAGCTTTTAGCTATAACTTTTATGCGGTAGATATGTGTGAAGACGAGAAGGTTAGCCAACCTTGGAAGAGTTTCTAATAGAATTGCTCGTGGTAGGCTTCGTCGTAGTACTTGATTTCGTCAAAGTAAACCTTTGCGGTGAATCTCTCCCGGAGCTTTCTTTTGAGTGATTTGCTGGTGATTTCGTTATTCGACAAATTCAACACCCTGAGCGATTCCGGGAACTTGATTTCCGCGTGCACGCTGCTGAGCTTGTTATGCGATAAGGAAATGTGCTGTACCAGTGCAGGAAGTCTCTCGATCCCCAATGGTGCCAATTCAGTGATACCGTTACCGTCCAACGCCAAGGTCCGCAAGCTCGAAGGGTAGGCAAAAGTCCAGACTGGAAGTAGCTCGGAGAACTTCTTAAGACTCAAGGAGAAGTTCTGCAAGGACGAAGGCAACACCAAGTTTCCAAACCCGTCAATGCTCTGACCAATCATCTCTAAGCTTTTCAACCCAACAGGCAAGCGGAAGGATTCTGGAATGGTAAGCGTACCGAAGTTTAGCACTTCCAAAACAATCAAGCTCGCCGGCAAGCTCAACCCGGCAGTATTGGCAATCACACCCTCGTCAAAGGTCAACTTCTTGACACCCCCAAAATTCATCAACGTACCATCCACCGCTTCGTGGTCCTCAGCCTTGGTCATCCACACGTTGTGGAGGCAGGTAAAGGGGGAAAAGTCGACGCTAGTAGTTGCGGTCTTGCCAAGACCGACCTTAAACATCACGGTTAATTTTTCCACCATATGGTTCAAGGCCACTACCACGTGGTCCTCAAACAATGTGGAAAACTCCTCAAACGTCCCGAAGAACCTCACCTCCAAGTTTTGGATGGCAGCATCGGCGAATTCCTGGTCCTCCTCCTCATCCTGCATCAGCTCGTACTTTGCGTCTAACAAGTCAAAAAATTCTTCGTACGGCATCTTCAACACAAGCTCTTCATCTGCATCGGTGGCCTCGTCATACATATCCAACACCACATCGGCATAGTACCGCGTTCTGGCAAGGGCTCGGGTCTGGGGATGATGGAAAAACGCCTCTATATGGGCCACCGGAAGAGTGGAAAAGACACGGGAAATGAGTGCTTCTGGGAGAGTTTTTATAAATCTCAAAACCTCAAAATCTTGTTCTGGCATTGTGAATGGATCTACAAGGAATAAGGGTGGGGGTGTAAGATGAAAAATGTAGTTGAAAAAAAAACCAGCAAATGCAGGATATGCATTAGGAGCGCGATGAGCCGATATGCAAATATTCTGGGGAAGCTGGTATGAAATTATTTCCGCAAACTAGCAAAAGGTGGGAGCATGACCCGGGGCTAGGAAAAATAAAAATAAGCAGTTGCTACAACACTTCAGCGATCTTAATAAGAATAGTTGAAAATATAAAATGATCTAGGGACTATCGAGTAAAACCATGCATTACCCGGAAATACAGATCTGTCATCGGTCAAGTCTCTCAAGGTTTGATACATTTCCAAGATGAAAGATCAATCATGCCTTTGGAACGCCTTTCACTTTGAACGTTCTCGCTAATATTTCAGCAGCCACCTTAACCAGTAAACGCTCAGCGGTACTCACGCCTTTGAGAATATTATTGTACTAGATCAATACCGCATGCTCCATCGGTCCTACCAAAGATAGTGCCACCACACCAGTTTGGCATTTCGATCGATATTTGGCAATAATAACCAGCACCCTAAACAAGCACCAAGCAAGCTCATGAAAATCGGCAAAACGGCATAGGTTCCGACATACTGCGATATAAGACCCACCAAGAACGGAAAGACCGCTCCGCCAGAGGAACCAAACGCAGAGACAATGGTAAGCGAAACCACCTGAATCTTTCTCGGAAAGGTTCGAGATGACACCGCGATCATCAACGTGTAGACGGGCCCAATGGCCAACCCGCAGAGCGAGAGAAACACAGCAGCCACAATCACATGCGGAATCACCCATGTGAGCAACGCTAAGGCGATGGACAAGACTAATAACACGATCACGCCCCTGCGGCCACCTAAGAATTTTTCAACTGGTCTGGTAAGACTCATTCTCCCAAGGGTCAACCCAGCCCAGAATCCAGCTGCCGCATACGCAATGTTCTTTGGGTTTCCTCCACGCGACTTGAGGAGAAAGGTGACAATCCAGCCTCCCATCGCTACCTCACCACCCTGGTAGAACAAGAGGAAGAAGGATAGAAGCCAGGTGGATTTGTCTTTGAGAGCAGTGCGCATGAGCGAAGGCTCGCGGACTGATGCGGGCTCTATTTCAACAGGCGTGTGCATGTTGCAGGAAGGACCCCCGACAGTACCGCTTCTAGCCACCCCCTCGGTGGTCGCCCCACCCTGACAGGTACACCGGGAGAGGCGATCAAGCTCCACACCGGTCTTTATCGCTTCCCCATCCCACGGCTTCAAATCCTCTTCGGCACCTCTGAAGGCAATCCCTAAGTTGAAGAAGTTCAACACAGAAACACCGAGCAACATCGCATAGACATAGTGCCACTGAACCCCCGCGTTGATCATAGATTTGGATACCAACGGCGCAAGAGTCGCACCGACACCGTAACTCGCATGGAGATAGCCCAAATAGGTGGCTGAACCCTTTAGGCGACTGAAAAACACATTCAACTGGGAAAGCGTGATTGCAAACCCCATCCCACCAAAGAAAAAGGAAACAACAGTTATAGGGAAGGCCGCACCAGGTGAAATCATCGCAAACATGACCATCTGACAGGCTACCCCAAGACTGGGCAACCGTGAGCGGCCGACATAACGGCTGAGAGTCGACGCAAGGAGTGCAACAACGAGATACCCCACGGCACTAGAGACCCAGATCATCGACACTACAGAGTAAGAGACGTCGTAGTACGTCTCAATGGTGGGAAGCAACGCACCAGGCGCACCATCTGTGAATCCCCCAAGGAGAATCCAGATGCCACTGGCGATGACCCGGTGAAAGTTCTTGGGGGGATTGTGGATGGTGAGCTCAGGAGGTTCAAAAACTCCAGCTTGCGAGCTCCCAGGATCTTCGCTGCAACTGTTGGTGCTATCTGGCTCGGGACGCGCGCGAATTTCCGGAGTGCTGACATAGGAGGCGTGGTAAGCGATATCCTGCTTTCGTTGGATTGGCATTGGCGGTATAACTATGGATTGTGACATGGCGGGAGGGAGGGATAGTTTGACAAAGGATCTGCGACTCGACACGGGTGGAATATCGATTCGGGTTTGATATGTCAATGCGACAGCGGTGTATAAATGGTAATAGAAAATGTATATATTATTACAGATTCTATACTGGTTGAATGCAAGTTTATGCAGTTATCCGGGGAATCTTTTAGCCGGTGCCGCTTTGGGCTTATCGATAGAAATGTGCGGGGAACTGCGAGCAATTAGTAAGCAAAAAGCGTTACAGGCCCATCGGAGTAACCAGTCATGGATGAATACAGTACTCGAGGGTTTGATTAAGAAGTTTCAGGTGGATTTTTAAAATTAAAACATCGCAGTATTGCTTATAATGGTAATCGGGACATTGCTCAGCCCATTCTACGACCGTTCAATCGGACTATAGCGATGTCTTATCCAATTCCATTGACTTTCATCGCGTAAAAGACGACTTGGTAAGGGCGTTGGCAGAGCCTAATAATTATTTTCCCTTTAAAATTACCTAGAAATCCTTCCAAGAATATCTCCTACTTCACCCTTCCTCTCAATCAAGAGTAACGGCTAGTACTTTCCCATCTAGGCGGAATCCTACCCTTTACAAATATTCGCATACATTAACACAAGCAACAATGGAAGATGTCCCTTACGTCAAAGGGGATTAAGGAAAACCAGATAAACACCGTAAACCTCCAAGGTGCCTTGGCGGACAAAACTATATCGCAAACGCAGCTCTAACCTTATATCGTGTACTCCGAAAACGGAAGAAGCTCCATGTGGAAAATCGACAGCACGACCCAATTCCATTGGACCACCACACCCAGAGTGCCCTCACTCTCCATCAATCGGCCAAAGCTCTCGACCAACTTGGTGTCTTCCTTCTTGGTGGCGGCACAGAGCACGTAGGCAACCAGGTCGGTCGTCTCGGCGCGTTTCAAGTGCTTCAAATCCTTCAAGGTAGCCACCTTGATGCAGTTCGCGGTGGAACATCCATGGTCGCCCATGACTCCAGAAATGACGTTGGCACCGCCGGGCAAGTTCTTGGAAAAGTTGAGAACCACGTCGTGGAAGAGTCCGCCACTTTCTTGGCACTTGCGTGCCCGCTGCAACAACTCGCTGAGCGAGATGTCGCCCAAAAATTCAGCCACCGCTTCGGGAGTTTTCACGTCCAAGGAGTACTTCTCGATTGGGAAGGGTACCTTCGGTTCGTCGTTATCCACGTAGTACTCGATTACATCCTCGATGAAGGACGGGTGGAGCACGTACTTCAAGCCGTTCGCCAACCCGCGGAGAAACTTTTCCGTGCGCAGAATCTTTGGGGACACAATGACATCCGCGTGGGCCACGGTTTTAACCACCTTGACACCTATACGCGCGAGCTGTTGCTGTTGTTGGCGCGTGATCTCAAAGTCCATGCCCGTGGCAATCAATGTGATGTCAAAGGGGGTGGATGGCTCGGGAGTTGCGGATTTCTGTTTCCGGGCCTTGGATTTGACAGATTCGTCCACAGTTTTGCCCTTAGCCTTGGGTTCAAGGGTGGTTTCCAGAACAGTTGTCTTTTTCCCTTTCTTGCCCGATTCAATCTTATCTGATTTAATCTTATCTGATTCAATCTTATCTGATTCAATCTTACCGGATTCTGGATTCTCCACAGCATGTTCATTAGTCTTGAGCTTTTTGACAGAAACAGTTTCATCGCTCCGCGTGCGCTTCGCCTCAGCCTTCATTTGCTGCTGCTGTAACTTTTCCTCCACCTCCTCACGCAACAACGGCATCTTCCGCGACTTGGTCTGCTTCTGATAGAAGTTCAAGTCGTCCATGTCAGAGTGCAACTGCTCTACCGCCTTGAGCTTGGCCCTGCGGGAGGTCGAAGGGGGTGACACAATGACGATTTCCTTCGCCGGAGTGGCAGGCTCCTTGACCACCTCCTCGAACGTGCCCGAGTCTGCCATCGCGAAGCTCTCCACAAGCTCTAAATCCACCCGAGCACTACCAATCTCCTCGCCCGAAGCAATCTTATACTCCGTATGGTACCTCTCCCCTGCCTCATCTAACCGCCGCAACTGCCGGAAACAGTCCTCGATCCACAAGTGGTTGACAATCTTGACACCCCACTTCGCGGCCGCCTCGAACTTTTTGCTCTGGATCCCGTGGTACGCCACCAAATGCGTATTTGTCTGCTTCAACGTCTTGGTGAACTTTCCTCCGAGCATCGTGATTAAGCTTGCAAGGTACGGCCGCGTATCGCCGGTGTAGTTCGTCACGGTAATGACCAACCCCTGGAACGGCTGGGCGCCGCGAAAGTACGGCTCGGGGTAGTATACTAGTGAGGTTGTTGGAAGATCTGCGTTTTGGGTGCCAATCGTGCGCTGCAACCACTGAAAATTGGCGATTAGAATCGCCGGATGGGTCTTGTTGTGCTGAACCGCTAGCCTAAAATCCTCGCTACTCCGCTGGTTGGTAATGAGCACGTCCGTTAGGTCCAACGGAATGGGGCCCAGTGATAGGGTTTCTCCACCCACAGATCTGATCATCAGGATGATCGTATCGAGTTCGCGCGGCGAGAGATTGAGCGAGGGAGAAAGGTAAACATGTTTTCCATATAGCGACGGAATTGTAGGGGTTTCAGAGGGTCCAGGGGCCTCCACCTTCGGCAACAGTGCCGTAGAGGCCGCAGGAAGCACATAGGGCTGTTCGTCAATCCGCTTCATCGATTTGAGACAGTCGTCGATCCAGTGCGGCAACACGATCTGTATTGGCGGCGGAAGTCCGTTTTGCACCTGTTCTAGGTTATAGGCCTGCGCCACGAGCGATTTGTCATCGTTCAAGTCCATGGTGACCAAATGCGTCGTGAACTTTGTCAAGTCGTCCATGAACTGCCCACCCACCGCGCGCACCGCGCCGTAGATCGCAAGCACGTCATCACGCGGGATCGAGGTTGTGCAGCTGAGGAAAACCTCCTTGAGGAAGAGCCGCGGGTCCGGTGAGTGAGCGCGGATCGGCACCAAGCGTTCCTCCGCATACGACACCAACACGTACTGGGGTGTGATGATCGGCAACATCTGGTAGTTTGCCACCGCAAACTCAGGAAAATCAACGGTGGTGGCAATGATATGGGTAAGGTCGTTGAGATCAGCGTAGAGAGACGCGTCGTCCAGACGCTTAAAGTCAAGCGACGCCACCCCATTTGCCTCGAGGATCGCCGCCACCTTTTGCTTCAAGCCGGGGGCCACGTCTGGTGAGTCTACAAAAAGGATTTTGGCCTGGGAAAAGAGCCCGAGGGCTTTGTAAATGTCAACCATGGTGGGAAAAAGGAGTATTAGTGTAAGGTGTAGAAGGGAGAGCAGAGAATAGAAATACGATCTGAGTTCGCGTTTGCAAAAACGCGTCGCGTAAACCACGTGACGGCGAAAGCGAGGATGCGGTCTCATGCGAGGTCGGATTCACGTTGCACTCTAATCTACACGTCCACTTTAGTTGTCCGTTTTGGAATCCCACCCTCAGATAAGAGTGAAATTTGAAAACAAAAGATAAACAAAACGAGGTATTTGGTGGGATGTAGACAACATGAGCTATGGCCTACTCAGGCACGTGACAATTGTGAGAGTAAGCCGCAAAAACCAAAGTCAGGTTTCGCTCAACTATTCATGTGTCCGCACTCACGATAGAAATCTATCTAAAATGACTTTAAAACCTCAAGGGTAATGATCTATATGATTGAGAAGGTAGAGAAGCGGTACGGACCTTGACGTGAAGCGAAGGCGTGGTCATAACTTAAAAACAGTCTACGTATGCATCCTTATCAAATATATTTAAAAAGCGGTATGAAGGACAGTAAAATAAGTCTGGAAGGTAAAAGCCAAAATCCACGGTGAATCAAGCTCGTACTCTTTGTAGCTAAAAATTAAACGCACCACAAACGCTGACTTGCCGTTGAATCCAAGAGACGCGACAATGCATATTATCGGTAGTAAGCTCCCATCGGAGAAGCTGTGCACACATAGCCACATCCTTTTAATTCAACGATATGTTATGACCCCCATATATATATATCTAGCCTGTAAATAGGTCGCCTCTGAATTTCCTATTTTGCCAGAACTGGCCAAGTGCTACACAGCCGGGATCGCCTCTTCTCTAATTAGTGGCGCAGGATACCGGGCTCAAAACCGGCGATAAGCATCATAGCAAACGACATATCAGAAATTGACATCTTTCTCGTACCCCTCTGCTCTCCACATATCCATCCATTACAATACAATAACTCGTTACCATGGCTGACGAATTCACCTCTGTACAATGGGACAGAGACGAGCAAGTACAGCCGGTTGAGGCGCCGATTCAGCAGCCGCCAATTGCGGAAACTCACGAAGACGCCCCCGAGGAGGCCCCAGCTGCGCCTGAAAAGACGCTTGTCGCGGATAAGCTTGCGGCGCCAAAGGTTGGTTCCTCCAAAGAGAGAAATGTGTTCTACATCAAATCCACCGTCACGGATCCAATCGTGGAGTCGGATGGCCAGCATAAGTTCATGGCCTACTTGATAGAAACCACAACCAACAACCCTTCGTTCAAGAAACCACAATTCTCGATCCGCCGCCGGTACTCTGACTTTGAGTTCTTGTTCCATTGTCTCCTGAGCGACTTTCCCACCAGCCTCGTTCCACCGTTGCCCGAAAAACACAGCTTCCAGTACCTCAAAGGCGAGACCACGCGTCTCGGCGAGTCCTTCACTGCCAAGCGGTGCCACTCGTTGGATAAGTTCTTGGCAAGAATCCTTAACCACCCGGTGTTAAGCCAGTCCCGGGTGTTGTATGTGTTCTTAGAGAGCGCCGACTGGGTCACGTACAAGAAGAACTTGAACATTGTGGCCAGCGACGAGTCTCTCAGTCAGAGTGCGGTGGACACGTTGACAGAGACTCTCATGAATGCGTTCAAGCGCACAGAGGAGACCAATGAGGATATCTTGCTAATCCACGAAAAGCTCAACAAGTTGAATGATAACTTGTCCAAGATAGAAAAGATCTTTGGGAAGGTGTCGCAGAAACACGAACTCCTCTCCCTGAGCTATCTGTCGTTCCACAAGAACCTCACCAAGATGATAGGATCCGGCATTGAGGAGAACTTGACTCTGGAGTTTACCATATTTAACCAGGGGATCAAGTCGTACAGTGAAAACTTGGCATCCTACGCGCAATATCTCGAGCAGAACTTCATTGTTGATTTGAAAGACTTGATTGCGTTGATCATCAACTTCAAACGACTCTTGAAGACGAAGCAGGACCGCAAGCTTGACTTGGAGCTGCTTATCGGGTACCTCAGCGACTACAAATACGAAAAAAACAAGCTCATAACGCAGTCCGCGAGCTCCCACTCCCCCATGGGTGCGATTCGAAACAAGCTCGAGGATCTCAAGGGTGTCAACCACGAGCAGGCACGCATCGCACGCATCAACAAGTTGGAGGACAAGATCAAGCAGCTCGAGACTGAGATTACGACCCAGGAAAAGCTTCTTGCCGAGTTTGAAAAGAACCTCATGAAGGAGTGGGAGTACTTCGAGAAGGTCAAAGTCCGCGAATTGAAGGGGAGCTTGTTGGCCTTGTGCCAGTTTAACATCGACTTCTATCTGGGAGCCATCGGCGACTTCAAGGCAATAGAAACAAAGTTGTATGCCAAGTATCAGGGAATAAATGATCTGGTAGAGGCGGAGACGCCGCTGGTGAAGGAACCTTGATGCAATGAATGCTTATACTTATAAGGCGCCACCATATAACTAGTGTTATAGGAAGTTTTGTCCCTAGCTTATATCCTAGATGTCATTGCGTGTATATTTGGTCTGACCTGCTTTGGGGATAATTTATGACGTCACCTAATTTGGGAGTATCCCCATTAAAGGATTATTAATATATGCTACATCTGCTTGTAAACCTTGGGAAGTGGGGACTTTCGCTTAACCCTGGCATACCCAAATCATAGATCAATCGTTGTTCTCCCTTGCATGTGGTGGGCGGAAACAGCCTGAAACGATGGCTCAAACGAAAACAATACACCTTTTTGACGAGGTGTTGTTTTAGAAAGCTCCCACCTTCCTGTTTTAGATCCATATTTTTTTTTTCCCCGGGGGCTTCACAGCGTAACGCACGATCATGTGACCCGCCTTATGCACAGCATCGTGTACGAACATTCCATTGGGCCGCAGTGCATGCGATTCTTACACCCTTCCCGTGGATGTTGATCGTTCAAGATACGTCTGATGGTTCCATGGCTATTTTAGTTTCATGTAATAGAATGGTTGTACAAGTGATAGCGGAAGGGACCGCTTAGAAAAGTTCGTGAAACTCAGGTCAGCTCACATATCTGAAAGCAGCGCCCTCTGCTACACGAGACCTGGGCCTTGAATAACTAGTTATTGAAACTTGCCGCCTTTAGGGCGTACCCCTTTGTGCTATAAGAGAAAGGGTAATATACGAAAGTTTAAATACTGCGTTGAGCATCACACGTATCAATTACGTATTCCCCATTTGGCGTAGCTCTGCTATATCGGGCACTCATAGCCCTAAGCCCGACTCTCTCTCTATCCGGTATATCCATATCATAGTCAACAATAGGTGCTGCTACATAGCCTTTATACAAAACGTCAGTATTTGAAAGGGGTTCGGCGGCAGGCTTCTTTTTTTGTTATCTTTTAGGTTCGCGTAGCCATTGTTGGAGCGGCGTAGCGCATGCCAATTATTCAGGGCGCCGGCTGATTACCCATTACGTACATCGGGATATTTACTAAATGAGGCTATCCCCTTTCGTCTGCCCGAGTTCCAGATTGGGGGATCGGCGCCTCGACTGTCGTTTGGCCTAAATCGTACCTGTCACCCCCACTATTTATCCCTCTTTGGGTTTCTTGGAACCACTTCTTTTTCCCAGATTTGGGTTTCATCTTTCCCTTGTTATTCCTCAAGAGGAGGGTTCTGTATTTACCCTGTTCACGTATCTAATACAGTTTCCTTACCTTGGAACTGGTGCAATGTTTTCGAGTAGACTTACTTTGTAGCTTGAGACACATCAGTATCGCTAACACTCAACCCAAGGTTTGCACTAGGGTGCGACCAGGGCTGGTGCTAAATGCAGGTGGAACCAGGGGTAATACATGGCAAGCATATCTAAAAATCCAGCTATTGTCTTCCGACGCCGCGGATTCATGCGATGGAACTAGCTCGTAACTGAACATACTTACAGATTGGCTGAGGTCCATGCTTTTTGGCCTTGTCTTCTGAGATAATCCTACAAGCTGTCTGCTATATAGCCTCCCCGTTGCTGTTCTATTTTACAAAAGGATTTCGGTGAAATGGAACTAATTGATAGCCTTCTCGACCCAGCAAGGGCAGCGATGCGATCTTCCATGTCAACCATTTTAGGAAGCGGTTGGGGTTCCAGATTAGCATGTCTATGCTTTAGATTCTTGCATTAGAACAATAAGTTGAAATGTAAAATGCAGGTTTCCTTGTATGACAGCCTTAGGTCAATAAGCGAACAAAACGACATCCGCCTCAATAAGAGTTCTCTTGTCATCACACATGAAATACAATCATATGCGGTCATCCAGATACTTGGTAGAACCTCCACCAAAGTGTATAAATACATGTATATCCCCTATGCAGGTATTTTCTTTCTTGTAAAACACAAGTCGAAATCAATAACCAGCTTTCCACTATGCTTCTCTCCAAAACCCTCTTCACGATCCTTGCGGTCTTGATGCAATCTGAATTCATCCTCGCCGAGGCCACTAGCCTGACGGATGGTGTTATCAGAGTGGATTTCGATGTTCACAAAGGACAAACGGCTAAGAACATCGTCTCTGCGGATGGTACCCCACGGATTGCCCCAAGAGCCGTGGGTGCGGCCGACGAAGTGAACCTTGTCAACGAAAGTGTCTTATACTTAGCCAACGTCACCATTGGCTCCAACAAGCAGAAGCTTGGTGTGCTTCTTGACACTGGCTCTTCTGACTTTTGGGTGCAGGGAAGCACCAATCCATACTGCAAGGCGGGGACTACCGAAGAGGTTCGTGCATCTCCATCCAAAATTCGTGCATTGGCAGCCAATCATCGGGCTTTTCACTTTGGGTTCCCAAGTTCCCTGACTTCCACTTCCACTACCTCTATACCCGCATCTAGCCAGTTTGATTGCAGTATTTATGGCAGTTTCGACCAGTCCAGTTCTTCCACCTTCCATGACAACAAGACTGCCTTAAGTATCACTTACGGTGACGGAACCTTCGCCAAGGGTGATTTTGGTCAGGACACTGTCAGTTTGGGTGGGTTGGATGTTAAAGGGGTCAACTTTGCTGTTGCCAACAACGCCGATAACTCTATGGGTGTTTTGGGTATTGGCATAGCTGGCAATGAAGCCACTACCGTGGCCACCACCCCATTCCAATACGATAACTTCCCAGTGCAGTTGAAGAAGAAGGGTTTAATCAAGAAGACTCTCTACTCGTTGTATTTGAACAGTGCTACGTCTAATCTGGGTAGCGTCTTGTTTGGTGGGGTTGACCACGCCAAGCACTACGGCAACTTGGTTCCTTTGCCATTGGTCAATGTTTATCCTAAGAATTACCCTGAAGCGGTGTCCTTCTTTGTAACATTGGCTGGTGTTGGTTACAACAAGAAGGCTGTATCTTCCGGTCTGATTTCTGCTTTGCTAGACAGTGGAACTACTTTGACGTATTTGCCAAAAGCGACTATTAGTAAAATTGCTTCCGGATTGGGTTACAAACACGCGTTCTTGTCCCTGACCTACTATGGTCCATGCACGGGCTTACCTTCCAGTGTTCTTTCTTTCCTGTTCGCCGGTGTCACCATCAACGCTCCAATCTCCAACTTCCTCGAGCAAGCATACTACTCTGATGGCAGCGCAGCTAATAACATCTGCATTTTGGGCCTTCAGGCTTCGAGCACTTACATTTTGGGTGACAGTTTCTTGAGATCAGCCTACGCCGTTTACGACTTGGAAGCACTTCAAGTTTACTTGGCCCAGGCTATTCCAAATGCCACGGCTGAGGATATTGTGGCCGTTACTTCGACCATCCCACCAGGAACTTTGGTCCAGCAAACTGCCACCACTTTCTAAGTGACAGGATCATCCTTTTTTTTCCCCGCTGTCTCTAAAGTGGTGCTCTGCTGATAGACTTCCGTTTCCTTTCTGAAGGGCGTGAAAGTGCTTGGAGCAGTATACCGCTGGCAGTTGCCTCCTAGGTGCGCTCCTGGTTATCCCTTTCCTAGTTTAGAGGTTTATCTTTAAAGCCATACACGCCTAGGATTTTTTTATACCCCTTTTATTTTTATTTTTGGGTTAGTTCTCGTTCTAAAAAAAATTCCTGTTTGATTCAGCAGATATACTCGTGATGTATTAAACTATTTGAGCTTTCCGCAGATGACTGGATCATGGCACCATGATCCGGCTATATCTTGGGGTTTTATAGGGCTTTCAATTATGCATACCCTCTACGGGGTTGGGCTGGGGTATATGACACAAGATTTATTACCGGGTGGGAAGGGAAGATACTTTAGGTATCACCTGGCAATATCACCCATACATTCTTCACTGTAATAATTGGCTTTCTGGCCGAGTTGGTCTAAGGCGCCAGGGTAAGGTCCTGGTCTCTCCGGAGGCACGAGTTCGAATCTCGTGGAAGTCATTATTTTTGCATTTTAAGCTGTAATCGCTTGATTGGGTATGCCCGAAAAAGATGGAGTTTATATTTTTTACCATAGTGGATTCGGATGGCTGGCCAGGGCCATATGAAATGTCTCTGCCGAATCAATTTCATGTTACGAGCTTGTGGACATGCCGAATGTATCTAATGGGTAACTGTGGACGTGATTATTCGATGCTTTTCGGTAAAATATAGATGAGTTGAGGTTCTACTGAAGGTCAGGAGCGGCACCACCGGCACGAAGAAGATGGGATACCGAAATGTCCGAGGTTTCGTAGTGCCAAATATCAACCGATGACGTCTGCGGGGTTAAATGAAATCTCTAATACATCATTGGCGACCAGGCGCATGAGGCAGTTTACTTTATATGACGAGTTTTTACGAGTCCACCAAGAATGAGAAATGAAGCCTTTTGGATTGTGGGGTATTAAGGGGTATGAGTATCATAAGATTTATAATAAGGCATTTTGAAAAGAGGCTTAAACTAAAGCTGTGGTACGTCATAACAAGATGCATCATCTTACCGTGAACATTCAGTCTTATTTCGATGGACGCAACCAGTCCCAGGAATTTGGTGTGTTTGTTAATGTATAACTCTTGAACCATTGGTCTATCAAGTGATATTCTGGACTACCAAGACAACGAGAAGCAGTAAATAATGTTTCAAGCTTGTCTTATGCTTGACGCACTTATCTGGTATATCCAAGGTGGCTTCATATACACTATCTTGATTGTTGTGGTAAACGATTCAATCAAGTTCACCACCCGTATCACCTTCTTGTACTTTTATCTCCACGATTATTGGTACCCTTGTGGGATTTGTCGTCGCTTACATCAAGCGTGTAGAGCCTTTTATCGTCTTTGGTGTGGCCGTGTGGTTTGTAGCCGTGGGGTTTTTGCTTTTCATTTCAGAAGCAACTCCGGTTCTCACGGTGGTATCATCGGTGGTGTGAATCTCCTTGACTTTAATATTGGTTTTTTTAACCAATCCACTCAAGTTTCCGTCCAGACATGTACTGACAATAAGCACATGGCCGTGATGATTGCCCTTTACTTGATTTGTCACAGTATCGGACCCCCACTTGATAACTCTATTTCTGGTGCTATTTGGACCCAGAAGTCGTACTCTGAGTTGCTAAAAACACTCGGTGATACCAGATTGGCCACTTGCGTGTACTCCTCTCTAAAAGTTTATCATTGATTACGCTTGGGGCACCACCGAGAGAATGGCTGTCATGCCCGCCTACAGATATGTCCAAAAGCTTTTGATTGCCGTCAATTTATGTGTTCCGGTTAACAACTGCTTTGGTGTTGAGAGACTACAGGCTGGAGAGCGTCCAATCCTTGAAGCACAGCGAGGAAGAAACCATCAGGAAAAAAGGTTTCATGTCCAAGCTCTAGGCTTACACCGAGTAGCACCTGCACTCCTCCTTTACCAATATTCTGGCCCATTCAGCTTCACATCCTAAAATTAAGATGGAAAAATAACCACGGTAAGCCATGCCAAATAGTAGGTATTCATTCTCATGCTTTCGATAAACAAAATCTACATCTTGGAAACCAGACCGTTTGGGAGGTAATGGCCTTCTCCGTTCTGCGCGCTCGTAACCCTCTGCATACTTGACTGAAAAATTATCTGTCGCTATCAAAACCCCACCATCATTTACCATCCCTCCATAATGTCGTTCGTCAGATCCTCCTTTATCCATATAGGGCTCAAGCGCTGTCTTGTGGCTAGATCTGTTTCGGTCCGCTTACCCGCATTCTCCCGCATCGTCCGGTTCAACTCCACGGTCTCCAAGTCCGTGGATATCCCGGGCCAGTTGATCAAGCCGGTGCTTGGCTTTAACCGCTCGCTCCTTGCGGAAATTGAAAACGACACCCAGACTACGATTGAGTTGGACGAGGGCTCCAGCTCCTGCGTGATCAGTGGTGGCGATGCGGAAAGGGCGGCGCAGTTGATCGAGACGATCGTGGCGTCGCTCACGACCGTGAAGCAGTTTCCGTTAAAGTCGCGTTTAGTGCTGCCGTTGGCAGGGGTTCAAGGCTCCACGTTGAAGCGCATCCAGGACGAGACCGCAACCGTGATTGTTTTTGATACCCAGAAAAATCGCAAGACGTTGGATAAGACATGCTACATCTACTCCGACTCCGAAGCCAACTGCGAAGCAGCCTTCAAGCTTGTTCAGGAGAGAGTCGCAAACTTGCAGGCCACGGCCGTGAAGATGGAAATTCCGCACGAGCTCATGATGCCGTTGGTCGGTTTGGACGGTATGGACATCAAGCAGATTGAGGGTGATACTCAGTGCTGGTTCGACAATACCAGAGATCGCTCCGCCATTGATGCCTCTTTGCGCATCTGCTACATCTACTCTGACTCCCCCGCGGGTGTGCCAGCGATGCAGGAGTGGATCAACGCCCGTCTTGCTTCTTTGTCAGCGCACAACGAAGAGTTCCGGCTTCCGATGAAGGACTTTGCCTATGTGGGTAACGAGTTCCTCGAGTCCTTGGAATCCTCTCACCCAGGGGCCAAGATCTTGAGCGATGGCAGTCTCAGAAACATGAGAACCGACAGAGGCCTCCCCACGCCGAAGCTCACGATAAAGATTTTCGGTACCGACGCGGACCAAATCTCCGAAATCAAACGCGCCATCCAGGATAGAATCGACAATCTCAAGCGCAACAGTCTCAGCATCACCTGCTCCAAGTCAAAATTTAACGTGTTGGTCGGCCACAAGTGGGCCCGCACTACTCCGTTTGCCCAGCAAGGCGTCAAGTTTGTCAGATACAACGATAAGAGCGGCGCGGCACTCAGAATCTTTGCCGACGACATGGACAAGGCGCGTGAGGCGTACGAGTGCATCCGTCTCGCCTTCAACTCCTTGGCCGAGGGCAAGGTCACCATCCCCGCTAGGTTGATCACCTTCATGCAGAAAAGACAGGCGGGGATTGAGGCGAAACACGAAGTCATGATTACCGACCAGATATTTTCCCAGAGCGGTGATTTGAAGTGGATGATCCATGCCGACCCAGAGGTCTTGGCGGAGGTCCAGGCGCTGATCAAGCAGCAAATCCAACAATTGAATGAAAACACAAAGTTTGCGGTGGTACCTACGAAGGTTGCGGACAAGCTCACCGATGAGCATGTAAATGGGTTGCAGGCTGAGTTTTCCGGTTTGCTGTTCATGCCGTACCAGGCGGAAGTCGACGGGGATAAGTACATCTTTGTTGTCGGTGAGGACCCTGCAGTAGTGGAGGAGGCTGTGGTGCGGGCCCAGGAAGTGATTGACAAGTTGTAATGTATATAGTAATATTTGAATGAAAAGAAACGTGACACCGTGTGTCTGAAAGGATATTTCAAGGTGGAACGGATCCTTGGTCGGGAAAGGTGAAGGTGATGAATTTAGCGATCTAAGTCTGTGAGTAGTAGGGAGTATAGTTAAGGATTTGTGTCGAGAAAGGTTACAACGATATACCGGTAGGAATGAACCGTAGTAGATGTAGATGTATTATCCTACTGATTGCTGCCATGCGTTCTTAGAATTTTGGAAAATCAGCTATTCGAGTTCAACCTGGTATCCATTCTGGTAATCGATCGACCAATCGGTCTCGATCCAAACCTTTAAATAAATTCGTTTGGCAGAGGGGGAGTTATCTGAACCAAAACGAGGCACACAGACCAAAACAAGCCCTCAATAGAGTGGTACATGGCTACACTATGCTTAATAATAAATTAACAGTGTAAATACCTTGCCTTTAGCTGGGTCAACTCCCACAACCTTCATGCCTTATCGGATGGAAATGCACAAGCATTCCGACACGACAGGCTCATGGGATCCATTCATGATCCAATCAGGAGTTTTCGTCAATTATTACTCGCTTAGCAGGTGTTTACTAGGTTTGTGATCCAGAATATTATCACAAATTTACCGTTTATTTATTCCTTCCAGTCCTTGTCTGTTCATTTGTAGATTCCAAATACCAACGACCACCATGCACGTGACAGCCGCTCATGCACGAAGAGTCATGGATCCCGGGCTATGAAAAACTATGCGTCCCCAAACCTGACCCCTCAAGCTTGTAACTTCTCAACTATATGACCCCAGTCACGCTCCCAAACGTCTCCAGAGACCCGGTCCAGAAAGGATTCACAATCGTGTTGAAGATCGGGACATCCTCGCTCGTGGACGAGGTCACACGCGAGCCTCTCCTCTCGAACATGTCGCTCATTGTGGAGACCGCGGTCAAGTTGCGCCGCGCGGGCCATCGAATCGTCCTTGTATCTTCCGGTGCGATTGCCGTCGGTCTCAAGCGCATGGGCATGGCTGTAAAGCCGAAAAGGTTGGCGCAGGTGCAGGCGCTCGCGGCCATCGGACAGGGTCGGCTCATCGGCCTCTATGACGACCTCTTCCGCCAGTTTGCGCAGCCGATTGCGCAGATTTTGATTACCAGAAATGACATTGTGGACTACACACAGTTCCGCAACGCCCAGAGTACCATTGAATCGTTGCTCGACATGGGTGTGATTCCCATTGTGAACGAGAATGACACCTTGTCCGTAGCCGAAATCAAGTTCGGTGACAACGACACTTTGAGTGCAATCACGGCAGTTATGGCGAACGCCGACTACTTGTTTTTAATGACGGATGTCGACTGTCTCTACACGGATAACCCACGGACAAACCCGGACGCCAAGCCGATCTTGTGTGTGGGTAGCATGGACGAGTTGGAGGTGGACACCTCTTCCGGAGGCTCTGACGTAGGGACGGGTGGTATGACCACAAAGTTGATTGCGGCGGAATTATGTATGGATAGCGGTGTGACGGCCATTATCATGAAGCTGTCTCAACCAGCTAACGTCTTGCCGATTGTTGAGTATATTCAGTCGATCAGCAACGCCAAGGCGACAGGAGAATTGGCGAGCCAGCTTGCACAGCTTTCCCTCAACAAGGTTCCGCTCCACACGCGGTTCATCGCCGAGCCCCGTCCAATTAACAACAAAAAGTTTTGGTTGTTGCACGGTTTGAAGACGAAGGGGTCACTTATTATTGACCAGGGTGCGTATAAAGCGATCATTCCGCCAAACAGAGCTGGCTTGTTACCAGCGGGGATTATTGGCGTGGAGGGTAGCTTCCACGAGTCGGAGCCTGTCAAGTTGATGCTTGGGCACCGCGATCCGGAGACGGGCTTGTGGGACAAGACCAAGGAGACATTGGAGTTTGGTCGTGCAAGAGTAAACTACAAGGCGATGGAGATCCAGATGATCATGGGCAAGCACAGCTGGGAGATTGAGGGGATTTTGGGGTACCATGACTCGGAGTATGTAGCGCACAGGGATAATTTGGCGTTTCCACCAAGTGAAGTGAGAGCAGAAGCAAAAGCCGGTGTATAGAATGAGCTTAAGTGATCATGTGTATGGGAATGAGTAATTAATGCAAATCCAAAGATAGATAGTTTGTTAAGATTCTGTTACAGTCAGTATGTACGTATATTGGAAAATACCTATTTAACATGTCGGTACGTAAAGCAAAATTTGAGATATGGTTATTATATAGTTATTATATAATTATCATATAAATATATTTACATATATATGAACAAATATAAAATATATAACACAAGTAAAAACTGACATTTGATATTCATATATGCTAGTGATATACAAATTGCACACCAACAAGCTCGCAGTGTAGTTGCACTATGGAAGAGGTTCTACAAAATATTCATCAAAGTTTCAGCACGAAGTCTTTGAAGAAAAAAAACATCTCCAAGGTTGTATAGTGTAGTGGTTATCACTGTTGGTTCTGATCCAATAAACCCCGGTTCGAATCCGGGTACGACCTTTTTTACCAGCATTCAAAAAATTTCACTTATGAAGTTGTATTTATGTCGTCCCTCCAATAGATCATCAAATATACCAATAATCAATATTACAATATCATTCACTTCTACACAGCTGTTAACTGGTATGCCAATCATACCTCACATAAAACACACCATTACATCCACGACCGAACGTTCTCCACCAGAGTGTACACCATCATAATACAGCCAAAAGCCAAAACGGCAATATCCACGACAACCATCGCGAGCGGCACACGCAACGCGTTCTGGCGCATACACCGTAAGTGCAACAACGGTGGAAAGATGTAAAGCAAAGGGATGCACGCAAAGCTGCCTATGAAACTGACAAACTTGTCCAAGTCATTGGCCCCCACGATGGCGATCAATGTGGTGCCAAGAACCACGGCAGAGCGAAAAGCGTTCTTGCTCCACTTCACCGACGGGTTCAGTTTGCCCGATGAGCGGCCGAATACGCCATGCTCGAGGATCTTGATGGCAGGGAACAACTGCAACGGCGTGCTAAGCAAGATGGCAAGCGCGTAGAGCAACTGGGCGAGGTGGACGGAGAGCGAGTCCTGGGGAAAGTTCAAGAGCACGACGGTTTCCACGGCGCTGCCAAAGGCAAAGTAGCCGATTCCGCCGAGAGTGACAAAGATGAAGGTTACGGTGAGCATGGTGATGGTGAGAGTCATGCGGAACTGCTCGGGCTTTTCCATGGCTGCTTCGATGGGTAAGAGCAAGCCGATGCCCTCGTAAGAGAAGATGGCGGTGCCCACAAAGATGGTCCAAGACTCGGCGTTGAAGGCTGCAACGTCGGGGGCAACTCCCCGGGTGAATACGAGGTAACCAGAGTAGCAGTAAACGTAAATAATGCCCAAGAAGATGAAGGCGTTAGCGATGAGCGCGGAGACCGAGAGCTTTCCGATCTGGCGAGTGAGACACAACGGGAGGAAGAGCGTGACCTGCGCGCCGATGCACAAGCGAATGGAGAGCTCGGTGCTGAGCAAGCTCTGGGCCAAAGCACGAAGGTTTTCCGCCACAAACACGATGTACGCTGAGGCAAAGCCAATCTGCGACAAAATGATTGCCGTGAGGATAACGCGGCGGAACCAGGAACCAAAGAGCACAAGCCCCAAGTCACCGAAGGAGGAAACTCGTACCGAGGCTTTCACATCCATAAGGAGTGTGAAGGAGTAGAATGAGCAGCACGAAAAAAAGATTAGGAGCGACAGTGACACGAGCCAGCCCGCGTTAAAGTAGCCCCTCGGGAGAAATAAGACCCCCGTCCCGATGAATGCCTTGAGAAGAAGCAAGAGCGTCTTTCCGGTGGAAGTTCCCGCCTGCCTGGCCAAGCGCGTGCGCTGCTGGCGCATGCGTTTCTGGGCCGATTCGCGGAGCAAGTGGTCCTCTTCAGTCGCAAGGGGCAACGGCTCATCCATTAAGCTCTCTTCGTCTTCGCTGTCGGAGTCGCTCAACTCCTCACCTGCAAAGTGCCCGTAGAGTGCGAGAAACTCCACAAAGTTGCGTGTGAGAAAGTTTGGTGGCGGCTGCGACCGGCCATGGCGCGCCTGCTGCTCGTGGCGCGCGGTAATGAACAGGCGGCGGAAGCCACCGGGCACGCGGATTTCGTTGGCCGGGTGACTGGATGCGCGGGAGCCCACGGAGTTGGCACGGCGCACCGACGGGCGGCGCGAGTTGGGCTGCGAGCGGTTGCGCGCCGTCCAGTTGTACAACTCTCGTGTCATGTCGCCACCCTGCGACTGGAGCGAGTCGAAGGCCGAGTCGAAATCGCGGCCCAAGGTGGAGGTCGCAAGCGGAGAGGCCAGACCGGAAATGGCAGGAGTGGGCGAAGGGTCAACCAAGTGGCGCTCCACTGCCTCTACAAGCTTCGGATCAGGGTGGTCAAGGTCAATGGGGGAGGCCCTACGGGGGCTTACAACTGGATTAATGGTTACCATAAAGGGTGGAGCGTCAAAGAGTCCATGGCCACCTGAATCATGGGACAAGGGGTCATCACCTGAATCGCGAGACGGCTCGCGTCTTGTTGGGCTTGAGCTTTCGGGAAAGCCCTCGCTGACAATACCAGCCGTGGCGCTGGCTGAGGGTTCACGGAGACCCATGGACAATCCCCCGTGACTAGCAGCGGAGCCAGTCCTCTGCAAGACACGCACTTCACGCTGGACGGCTTCAAATCCTCCGGATAACTTTACCATCAGCGATGACGGTTCGATGTCTACTTGAACTGGTACCTCGCGGCGGAACGACAGCTCCAGTACTTGACTCTTGAACCCCTTGGCAGAAAAGTCACCCGTGCGAAAGGAATCCTCGTTGAAGCGTTGTTCTTGGAACGTTCCAGGCTCGCGGAATAACGTTTGGAGCGGGTCGCGCAAGCCGCTGACATGCGACGGCGTCAGCGGAATCTGGATGGAGCCGCGGCGGTCGGGCACATACGGCTCAGGGGTGCCAGAGCTTGGGGTTCTGGTGCCTGACATAGCAAAGAATGGGGTTTGGACAGGAAGACCTACCAAAGCGTAGAGGGCGCTGAGGAATTTATGCGTCGGACACACCGTACGGCTAGAAAGGGCGTGTATTTACCACTGACGTCATTAGCATCTGGCTGGAGACTAGCCCGGAGAAATATTCAGTAGCTGAGCAAGTTGTAATATTTGATAACCATGATTAATGGTTGAATACAGGGTATTGAAGCGAGGAATTGCCAACTCAGACTTTGAAATGCAGAGTTGGAGAATATAGTTTCGGGTCCGGGATATAAAAGAAGGGGACCTGTTGGCTCGGAGAAGTCGTTACCCTTCCAAAGAATATTCAACTTCCAAAATTACTTGACATGTATACTTGCCCCTAAATTCACATTAATTAATGATAAATAAAATTCATCGCTGTTAAATTTGCACTGCTTATACATAGTTTATTATACAAGACACCCGCTCAACCGAAAATGGTAATGTCGTCATTCATCAACCCCTCCTCACTCTCATCCCCACCTTCGACCCTTCTATCACCCTCACCCATATCGACTCTCTGTCCCAATAAACCAGCAAAGAACTCGTCAATCTGCCAATCATTCCACTTCCACTTCCCCCCGTTGACTGGCGCGGCAAAGCCCTGGATGGCCTCCTGCACGTGGAATCTCAACTTACGGCCCTTGGAGGCCTTGGTATCGACGTTCTTCTTAACCTTGGACTTGGTCAAGGTGATGAGCTGTGAATTTCCAGAGGTTGGGTTGGCACTGGACAACTTGTTCGCAATCAAGTCGTTGAGCAACAACCTGTAGAAGTCTTCGTCGTCAAAGATGTAGTTGTTGTGCTGGGTATCGATCTGGGCTACGGCCGGATGAGCGGATGGAATGATGTTGGAGTCCTCACCAGCAGCGTCGCCGTCGTCAACCGCATCGGTATCGCCGGTTTCCGCGACGTAGCCGAGCGGGGTGACGTTTTTTCTGTTCAAACGTGTTCTCTTGACGAGTTTCTCCATGTCGCGCAACTGGTTATCCACTTGGATGGTGAGGGACTGATTGACGACCTTGAACTTGGAGGCGTTAATAGCGGTGGAACCGGATGACTGTTGCACCTTGTGGGACCATTTGTTCAAGACGGCACCGCGGTAGGTGGCTAACTGGGTGTCCATGGTAGCGTTAGACGCCAAGTAATCGGCGTAGGAGCGCTTCTTCGGAAGCGGCGCGACATCTTTATCCGCCACAATCGCATCCTGCTTGTACAACTTTTTTCTCAAGCGTAAAATGGTGTCAAGCAAGTCGTACACCTTCGCCTCAGTCTTGGCAAGGGTCTTTGCAGATTTTTTTCCTGCAAACCCCTCGAATGATTCTGCGGATAATGGCAACTGGTTCGCGGTCTGCACCGCCTTCTGCAACTTGATACGAGAGTCGATGATCGAGTCGTAGAGGGTTCTTTGCTTGTTAATGGAGTAGCCCTTGACAGCGTCAGTTTTGGCGGTCGAAGATAATCTTGAGATGATGTGTTTGCGTTCTTGTTGCATCAATTTGGTCAAGTTAGACCTTTTGTGGGCGGTCTCCTCATCGTCGCTGTTAAAGTTGTGCTTTCCATCGGATTCATATTCTGAATCAGTCTTCAAGGAAACACCACTGTCAGATTCAGCTTCAAACTCAATTTCAGACTCAGCCTCAGACTCAGCTTCAGACTCAATTTCAGACTCTTCTCCCGACTGGTCTTGTTCCGAGTACAAATCTTTTCTAGAGCTGACGGCACCCTTGTATTTAGTGTCCAACTTCGGCGCATGATCTCTCAATACACTCTTGTCCACGCTCACATAGTGCTGTCTCTTCATGAGCTCCTCCTCATCGTCCTGCAAATCATCTTCGGAGTCCGAATTGGCAAAAACATCTTTCAATCCCTCATCTTCGATATCAAAGTCGGTTACGTCCGGTTGTGCCAACTGTGCGATTTGTTCAGCTAAGGATTTAGCCATTGTGTGTATGGACAAAAGCAAACAGATGGTGCCAGATGGCAAAATATATTTAAGCGTTGCGTCTGCAATTTTTTTCACCTGCGTGCAGGTCTGCTCATCTCAGTTCTGGACCGAATGGGGAAGAAACTAGAATGTCCCCATTTGGTCCTGTATGCTCCCAGAGAGTGCAAAGCTCGAGCTTTACTGCTTCGTGTATATTTCCTTACTCTGCGCGATTCACCATCAATCTACGTTGAAAATCGTGTCTAGGTTCAAATATTGGCCATTTAAATGGTTTAGCCGACCTAGAGTCGATACAGCCTGTCTGCGGTTGCATGATTGGACGTTAGACTGGGCTTTATCAGTGGATTTTGAGCTGGAGATATTGATTTTGTCATCTCGTTTAGCTGGCTTAAGCTTTTCACCCAATATATTGCTCTTTGTTGGAGGAATGAAGGGGAGTTTCGTAGTTTCTTCAGGAGTAGAGCTTCCCACAGTCTTAGTACATGTTACATACACTGCCGTATTATTAGCTTCGTAGAGCGAGGTCCCTCGAGCCTAGACTCCATACACAATACTATTTTGTCCTTGCATGTATTACAGGTCTGGTAGGGTTATACACATGTGTACATCGATATACACTGGTCGATACCGCACTTGATCGATGGATTCTCGGGTATAAGCTCTGAGGCTGGTTATCGGTCGGAAGCATTTTCAACGCATGATCTTACGTTTGACTGAACTTCCATGCGTCAAACCCTTTATTTTATTATCTCTTCTTGGGAGTGCGCTCTGGGTTTCTGGCTTTACCTCGGTCATTTCTATTTTAGCACATGGTCCCGTTCCTACCGTAATGATTGCGTATATCAATAGGTTACTACGAACAATGCAGGAGTTAAGTCCATTACAGATGGCCGTGATGCAATACCGTAATGTTTACATATGCAGGGGATGGTTATTGCTTTTTTGTATATGCATAAATATTCCAGCTGTTCACGTTCGCCTCAACTTGGCTTGTCCCTGTCTAGACAACTTTCCTGTCTCCCGGTTGAATTTAGGGGTTCATTTATCTGCCTTTCTTTTAGTTAATAACTCACCTAACCCCCAATCAGCTTCTTTGTGTACATGCCAGATAACGAAACCTCAGACAAGTCGAGCGAACTGGCCGCTGCGCTCGATTCCGGCACTGGGATCTCCACCTACAATGTCCCCAATAGAGCCTCCGATCCCTCAGCCCTAGGGTTGGATGACGAAGAGGAGGATTTTGTGCAGAAATACGGATCCATCCAAGTGGTTTACATCAAGAAACCCAAGCACTCGCCGTGGTGGACAAGACCATATGCGCTCAACTACTTCTACAACGGGACATTGTACCGCACGCGCGGGGAGCGT